CCTGGTAAAATTTTGCTTTAATATAAAGCATTTAAACATGGACCATTTAAAACAAAACAACAACGTATAAATAAGAATTAAAATAAATTCTAATAGTGAGCGAGGGTTTTAGGGTCCGAATTCGGAAGACCTGCACCGATTGACGTAAAATTTTAACAGTGAATAGAGATATATGTAAGAAACAGAAGTTACATAGTAGCAAGTTACATAGCATGTGTGTTTTGGGGGTGAGTACCACCCCTTCTCGGGGGTGAAAAATAAATCACACATTTTAATTGTAAAAATCAATAAAAGGTTAAATTCTAAGCAAAAAACGTTCTATAACATTTTTTTTCAGAAAATTAATATTTTCCTAGTTATTTAGGATTGAAAATGTTGATTTTTCATCTAAAAACTGCATATTTTTTGTCAATTTTAATAAATAACTCGAAAACCTTGCGTTTTATCGCAAAACTCATATAAAGGAAAAATGAAGCTTTTGGAATAACTAAACGATCCATTTTTTGTTGATTACCGTAGGTGTAATAATAGCTGAGTTATCATTCTGTAAACGGGATTTTTTATTTTTTGAAAACTAAATTGCAACCTTTTACCGTAAAATAATGGCAAAAGAACACATTTTTTGAAGAAAATGAATACGACTGTTTTTAAAGAGCTTTTAAATGCTTTTTTAAAAAAGTTCGTAGCTCAAAAACTCGCGAAGTTATTATAAAAATAATATGGTCACCTCATTATTTCGGAAAAATTTTAACAACAAAATCTACGACTAAAATCATATAAATAAAAACTAAGCGTAATACTTGTACAGTTGGCTATATATAGGTACTAACAATTGACTCTGCAAGTTCGAGCGGTTTAGAATGCCTAAATTTGGAAAAAAGTTGAAAATAATAAAAAAAAATATTTTTTTTTTTAAATATTTTTTGACATATCTCAAAAACTAAGCAAGATACGTAAAAAATGCAACAGAGGAAAATTGAAGGTCTTTTTTTGCAATATAATATAATAATATAATTGCTCCCTTTCAATTTTTCTGTAGATTTCTTTAGTTTGACTTGCGAGAGAAGAGTTCAAGACTGTTCGACTATAGAGGTTAATTTGTAGCTCGTGTAATTTCCTACAAATTGATAGTTTTTATTTTTATGATTTTAGTCATAGATTTTGTTGTTTTCCGAAAAAATGAGGTGACCATTTTATTTTTATTATAACTCCGCGAGTTTTTGAGCTATCTACTTGAAAACCTTTAAAAAAAGGCTTTTAAATGGTCTTTTCAAGCACTTTAAAAACGGTCATATTGATTCTCTTCGAAAAATAAGTTCTTTTGCCATTATTTTACGGTAAAATGTTGCAAATTAGTTTTCGAAAAATGAAGAATCAAATTTACAGAGTGATAACTCGGCTATTACTACACCTACTGTAAACAACAAAAATGAATCGATTCATTATTCCAAAAGCTTCATTTTTTGCTTTATATGAGTTTTGCGATAAAACGCAAGATTTTCGAGTTATTTATAAAAAAATTGCAGAAAAATATGCAGTTTTTAGATGAAAAATCAACATTTTCAATCCTAAATAACTCGGCAGATATTAATTTTCTGAAAAAATGTTATAGAACATTTTTTGCTTAGAATTCATCCCTTTATTGATTTTTGTAATTAGAATGGGTGGTTTATTTTTTACCCCCGAGAAGGCACTTACTCCCAGGGTGAAAGCACACATCGCTACTGTCGCTACTATAACTTTTGTTTCTTACATATATCTCTATTCACTATTAAAATTTCACGTCAATCGGTGTGTCAAGAATTCGGAGGTAATACCCTATTTTTATCCTCGCTTACCGGCCTATAAACAAATTGTAGCACAACTTTGACGATTGAAAAGTATTGCATTTCTGGTTCAAAAAATCTTCTTAGGGGAATTATTTTTTGGACAATTTTCCATTAGGGTAATCTTTGTTTTGGTTTGCTCTCGTTCAATTTTCTTTCGGCCAATTGTTTTGGGCAATTTTTCGGATAAGCTTCAGAATATAATGTCTAGACCTATCCTTTTTTAAAAAGTTTAATAACTTAGAGGGTATTAGAGAATGAACCTCCTATACAGCTCTTTGCCAATATTTTATAAGTGCCTAGTTTACTTTGCCAGGTTATCGCACAAGTTTTGCCAGGCTTCTTCTTCTCTCTGATTTCTAAAAATGTACAATGTACTTATGTTAAAAATGCCATGATATAGAAGGTGAACATAGCCAACTTTACATTATGCGTTTTTAGAGACATATTATGTGCTATTTATTTTACCCTCTCTTACTACTTTTGTTTTAGAAAAGTACTATACTTTAATAAAAATATTTTTATCAATCAATCTAGTATTTTTATTCATCCAGTATCACAATACACTTCCAAATTTAAGAAGTTTCAATATGGCGACACTTCAAAAAATACCTAAGGCTGAAAATAAAAACTTTAAATGAAAATTATATTTCAGATTTAATTTTTTTAAAAACTTTTTTGAATTTTGGTATAAGACAGTCCTCAATACATTTCTATACTTTGTAGAACCATATAAAAATTTTTGATAAAAAATTGGGCCCAACCGGGATTTGAACCCGGGACCTCTCGCACCCAAAGCGAGAATCATACCCCTAGACCATTGAGCCGCCATATTTAATTAATTATTAATAATTATCGCATAATTTTTGTTTCAATATCGATCCACTTCAATAAAATAATGACGACACCAGATTGTTGACCTTGTAAACAATGTTACAGGTTCGAGTAGGTATATGTAAATATATCAGTACAACAAAAAATAGATTGCCTACGTATGTTTTTCTTATCTATGTGTTTCGACCTAATTTTAGGCTATATGGGTTTCGAAGAACTAAAGTGCATAAATAGTTTTAACAATACAAACGTAAAATGCTAATTTAAGCTACTTTTTATAAAAAAAAAACATGTAAAATACAGTATTTTTGTGCCAAATTTGGTTGAAATCGGTTTAGCGGTTTTTGAGTTGTGGTGTTACAGACGGACAGACAGACAGACAGATAGACACCATGAAAATATTTTGTATTTAAGTCATTTATGACCCAAATAACTCATTTTTAGTGAAATTAAAAAAAATTGCCGATCTTAATAGCCTACCATACCTGTCGGTATGGTCAGTTAAAAAGAAATCTGCCTTAAAATAATCAACCTTACAACCTTTAATAACTTTCCAGAACGTTTTACCAAAAATAGTAGAGATCTTTTTGTAGAGAATTCAATTTACTACAAATATATGAGACGAGATATTAGAGAACAACGGCATACGGTCGAATCGGCCTACAAACACGTAAACGTTTACGTACACATGCGCATTTCTTATATTTTCTATTTTTTATACACGTAAAAGATTCTTTACGTCTACGTATACGTGCCACGAGCGGCCGACTCGACCGTATGCCGTTCTCTATTTTTTCCAAATAGTAGATACCGAGATATGATTTTTTCTTTCTAATAAGGAAAAAAAAATAAAAAACTCAAAGGCGGAGGACCTTCCTATTAAAATTAAGAGCTCATACTTTTGGGGGTGTCTACTAACCTTTTTTTTGAGGTGTCTACTCAAAGACTGTATATATTCTAAAGGACCATTCGATCGCGTCAAATCGCCGCTGTCGTAGTCGCCGTTGAATGCTACGTCACGCGCTGACCAGCGTTCCACAGTGCGGCGGATGGTTATTCTAGCGGGACAAAATCTCAAGAACAATGTTTGGGACTTAAAATCTAAGAACGTAGCAAATGGTCTAATATATAGCAACTATATGGTTAAATTTATTTATTTATAAACAACTTAATTTATTAATAAATAAATACAAGATAATAAAACTATGGTATTATTCGTACATGACACTACAAAATTTTTTATTGTAAACTATTGCCAAATACATAAAATTATGATATCAAAAAACTCTTTAGCAGTTTTTTTTTTAATTAATTTGTAATCTTGTGACACCCTCTATAATTTATTTAAAAAAATATATATATTTTTCTTTTGAAAATAATAAATAAGATAGAAATTTTAACACTCGGTAATTGTAAGTTCATATATAGTAAGTATCTAAGACAATTTTTTAAACTTAGTGCCTTTTGATGGAGTTGTTTTGTTTTATACTATCCGATTGAAACGAATCTTTTTGGGCATTCACCTGTTAAGCTTGAACTGCCTGTGACTGTGACTACCTGTGTTGGTAACTATTGGTAACTCAAAAGATCACCATCATTTCAATAACAACGATATTTGAAAAAAAGTGAAAGTTTGATATCTGCAGAACAAAGGCACAGAAGGTTTTAACAAAAATACGTACAGTAGAAAAGTACATACCTTTGACAATCTTCAACATAATTTAGCTTTCTAATAAAATATATAAGCACTTGTAAATATTTTGTTTTCGTATGATCTCTGCCTTGCTGAGCAGAAAACGACCAAATTTGGTTGATAAAAATGTATCGCAATACAAAGAATATTCATGCATTTTTTGTATCAATTGGAATGTCTACTATTTATTCTTATCAGCACACATTTTTTGGCTTATTTCTAACCAAACGCTTTTGTCCCGCTAAATTTATCTTCCAAAACACTGTGCGCTCGTCCGTCAAATGCAAAAATAACTGTCACTGTCTAAAATCTTTAGCGCCAACTTCAACTCGGTCAGTAGATGACGTAAAAAAACTGACAGTGCAGGAAGATAGAAATCGAACTATCCTTATCTCTATAGTATCCTTGGTGTCTACCAACTTTTTTTTCAGAGTATAAAGTGAAAAAAAATAATCGATTTTTTTATCCACCCTGCTACATAATAATGATCATAATAATAATGGCTTTATTTAATAAATAAATTGGCGAAGTCTGGCTAAAAAAGCCACTAACACAACATGATACATATGCTCAGAAAATTTAATTTTAATACATAAAAACTTTTCATTGGAGCCTCTCTGTACTAACATAATTATCTATTTATATAGAACCCGAATTGCCACTGCCTAAAGATTTTTCCGTTAACGATACAGGAACAAATTTTCAAAACAGTTTCAACAAAATAGGTAACAAAGTGGCTTATTCGGTACCAATGGGAGTTGTGAAAGGCTCTGGTCTGGATTTACTCAACTTTAATAGCATGTATAGTGCAGAAGACACCCAACAATTAATTGAGGTAAGAGAGATATTGTTTTTTATTATACAGGGTGATTCGAATGGTATTCGATAATCTTTGGGAATATATTGGGCAGATAAAAATAAATAGAAATGTTTGTATAAATTTATGTCGTAAAATGTGCGCGTTCAGGGACAGTCAGCGGTTGAGTGGCTGAGTAAGCGACTTCCCTAAACGGTCTATTTTTACACACAAAAACAGTCAGCCGCTGAGCAAAAGTCTCAGCGGTCGGTCAGCCGCTGTGTTCCCTGAACACGCATAATGCTTCGTTTTGGAGATACAGGGTATAGAAGTGTCATTTCTATTTAGGGTTTACATTCCTTTGAATAAAAATATTAAGGAACGAGTATAATGCTGTCCATAAAGAGGACTCTAGGGTGGGGCCCTAGGTAGGGTTGCCACTCGTCCGGGACAATCCCGATTTTTATCCAAAAGTCCCGCGTCTCCACGCAAAGCCCTAATATCCCGATTTTATTTGTTTAATAGCCACATTTTTATTAAATGGAGTATAAAATTATTAACTAAAAAGGTTGCAACAGACTGTATTACTATTATCCTTGTATATGAATTTTTAAAGTAGCTCAACCTAAGATGTTTATGGATGTAAAGCACCAGATGGCGGGGCGTATTTCACAGTCATTTATTACAGAAAAATATTTTTTGTTGCTCTGAATTTTGAAGCGACCAATAAAAACAGAGAAAATAAAAATCGATAATTTTCGGACTGTGCCAATTGGTTACTAATCGACCAGATACTTTTTGTCTATTAGATATGCTATAAAAGCTGATAATTATACAATTCGACCATTGTAAATACCCGACAGATTCCGCAAGGTCGACGAGGCCGATCCTTTTCACTGATAAGAAAACAAAACTCTTTAGATAATTTTTTCGAGATATTTTTCTTTCTGAATGCACATTTTTTTAAAGTATTTTATATTCTTTGTCCGCTTGATCTATTATACTGGTCGCTGTATCGAAGTTCTGTTTCTTCTAGTTTTAAACAATGTTCTTATTTCTTTGTAGTTGTAGTGGTTGTAGTGTAAAATTAGATTAATTTTATTAAGTTTAATTATAATGTTTAGTGTAATACCAGAAATAGTTTAGTAGTGTTTTTATAATTTATTATTTTTGTAGTTAAGTAGTAGGTAAAGGGATAATTTGTGGTTATTTTTTTTCTTTGTGTTTGATTAATTAGTAAGTTTGATAATTTTTCACTGTAAAATACAAGAAGTAGTTGTGTAGTGTTTTGATAAGAGATTATATTCTTTTTATTTTTGTAGATGAGTAGCAGGTGAAGGTATTTGGGTATTTTTCTTTTGTTTTTCTTCTTCTAATTTGTAATTCTATTAAGTATTGTGATAGATATACTATATCTTCCTTCAAAGTTCGTTGAAAAGTGCGTTATCATATGTATAATTTTGGTTTTCTGCTATTTGAAATATACGAAAAAAATCTGATCAAAATTTATTTTTAGACAAATTAATCGGAGTCTTATTAATCCATTAATCTAGTCAAATAATAATAATAATTTAGTTTCTAAATACTATACGGGGTGAGTTTCCTACGATGTTTTCTATTGGTATCTTTTGGAGATAGAGAGTCGGTTAAATGGGGAAAAAATTGCAGTTTTATGGGGGTCATAAATATGCGCCTTTCGGATTTTCGGAGAAATTCAAATATCACTAGATATTTCGAAAAAAACAAATTTTGGCTATTTTAAAACTTGTCTCTAATTCCATTATAATATTTTTTTATGTTTTTTTATTGTAAGTGTGATCGAAAAAAATAGCGGCGTCAACGATGGCTATGCAATGAAGATCGTTGTCATTTTATATGTAAAATTACATGTGAAATATCATCGATCGTCATTTCATAGCCATCATGACACCGTTCCTATTATACAAAAAGTTTTCAGATAAAAGTTTTTTTTTATTTTAAAAAATATTCCTAATAAGTTTGTGTTTTCTGTTTTTTTTTTCCAAAGCCTGTCATTTTTTGACATATGACACAAACATTATGTTTTTTTTTTTAAATGGAAACCTAGTTGGCCATGACTTCATAAAGAGCGCAATTTTTTAAGCTTTTCTGCGATATAGGTATAATATGTTGTTTTCGAAAAATTACAAGTTTTAGCCAATTCTTTTCTTTCTTGGCTATTCCACCAATAATACCAAGAAGCCAATTAGTTGGCATCAAAATAAAAAGTTTTATATTTCAAAAAAAATATCGTCAATACTCAATTTAGAATAAAATAATCTAAGAATGAAATGATTCTTTTTTAAGCCTCCATTAAATCAAATTAAAATAGGTATGTAACTTTTTTTTTAAATATTAATTAACAGCAATTAGCATTATCATAAATTATAAATAATGTACCAACATATCAGAAATAATAATTTCTTTTTTTTTTTTTTTTTGTTCGATATTTGGCAAAAATAATCCACAATTTACAATAAAATAAAAGTTTCGTTTAAATTTCTTAATCCAGCTGATCAGTATTAAAATTCGCAGAAACCGGGGCTATATTATTACATTACTCTGAGGAAAATAACGAAAATAATCGATATTTTTGACTCCGCCCCGAAAGGTTCACGATTTGTCCTCTAGTTGGCAGCACATTTTGTCTAGTCGGTTGAACAACTTTAAGAATATATAAACAAGGCTATTATACAGAGCGTTTCAAAAATTATGTGCCAACTCTAGTGAGGATCTATTTTTCTATATCTATCTACTTTTCATTATCAACATAGGCCCGATTCTGCTTTTTTTCGTAGCTACAGGGTGTTAAAGTCTTAATATTTTTTTCCATTTATTATAATTTTTAGTTTCAATTAAGTACTTTTAGCGATTCGAATGAAATTTTGGCGGTAAAAGGGGGTAATTTTTTGTTTTTATACGAAATGTTAAAAAAAATTACCTAAAAAACAGGGGTAGTTTTCTATTTTAATAATTCTAGGCAGCGTCCTCCTCTGATCCGCCTTTTCAATCCATTGACGGAGAAAGAGCAGAAGCACCACATATGTCCGGGAACGTCAGTATAACTCAGCCAAACGATACTTTCAGCAAAACACAATCCATCCTAAATGATATAGAAAATAAAGTGATGACTTTCAAATTTCCACCTATAGATTATGAAGGTATAATGTCTAAATTGAAAGATTCGCAAAGGTTTCGAGCTGAAATTGAGACTGCACTGAAAGGACTTAGGTAAATTTTGTTTTATTTGATTATTGAATAGTATATAAGAATTGAGATTTTATGATAGTGTAAGGAAACAAGTAGTTTCACTGTTCACCAAAAATAAACTGTATAAAACTGAAAAAAAAATTTCTAGTTATTTTATTAAAAGAAATATTTTAGGGCGTATTTTAAGAGTCCATTTCGCTAGTCCGAAAAAGTAGTAAAAAAGTAGTAGTTCGGCATTTAAAGTTTTATGTAAAACTGGCTAAGTATTTTTACACAAATGAAAAAGGAAATTAAAGATAAAGGATTATACTATATCCGTATTGTAGCACATTTTTAGACAACCTATAATAATCTTTAATCTTTATTTCTCAAGTCATACAAAAAATTTTACATTCCTTATGTTAAATAATATAATAGTAACCTAATTAATACAAATATTTACAAACTGCCAGACATAATTTGTTTAATAAATGTACACCGTTTCAGTTCTGCAGTGACTGCATTTTTTCAATTCTAGGACAGCATAAATAAAGTAATTAATTAATAATAAAAAAAGCAACGGTGTATATTTTCATTTGTTTTTACAGTTTTTTTTAATTTACATCATTTAAAAAATAAGAAATATATTCATCATATAGAATATTTATATTTAGAATCAATACAAAATAATCAAATTCCAACTCAAGAAATAAATTGAAAGACCCCAGAAGTCCGAAAACTTGTACGGGGTGTCTGTCAAAGTAGCTTTGTTTGAAATAGTTAAATGTTTGAATTATATAAATATATCGTCGGTGAAACGTGATAAACTGCTAAGTCCATTATTCCTAATTTTACAGGAGAGCAAAAAAATGGTACAAAATTATATGTACACATGTAGGAAGTATTTTGATGCGTTAATATGATAAAGAGATAAGAATTTTATTTGCTGGGGAACAATAAAACTCAATATTTCGTGTTACGTCATTTTTTTCCGACACAATAGGGAGATAGCAGATATTCGTCTTGCAGAAATAAAAAATAAACATATACTTCTGGAGATAGCAACCTTTATTGTTTGAAATTTTGAAAGTAGAAATGAATATTACCCAAACAGATTTATAAATAATCAATTAAATTTAAAAAATATGATATTCATAACCATATATTTATAATATCGTCGGTCTAGAAGCAAAACATACCAGTCCAAAAACGAATAAATCTTTAATGAAAATTTTAAAATTTTTGGCATTTTTAAAGAACTGAAGTAGCAGAATTTTGGACTTAATGAATATGAAAATAATTTAAAAATTAAACTTACAATTCTTAGAAGATATGGTAGAATCCTTCCATGCTTATCCTAATTTTTATACAACGGTAGTAGACCGAGCTTGGAAGACAGTGCGTGATTTTAATAAATTTTTATTACTTTTCCCCTTATTTTTTTAATTTTTATAAAAATTATGTATCATTTACGTGAAAATACGTTGAAAAAAATAAAACTGATTAGGTATTATGGAAATTCTTGTACAAGTAAGTAATGTTATTTAAACTATTTATAGCACGCCGATGAATTGCTCGTATATAGAGAATTTCGTTTTTCCCCTTACCCTTTACGAATACCCCGTATTTACAGAACGGATCGACGCAGGGTCGGACTGGCCATATTATATAGATAACTATTAGGGGGGGGGCCTTTTTAATTCATTAATAATTAATGAGAATTAAGAATAATTATTATTCTTAACAATATTTGCTTTTGCATTGCATTATGGAATTTGCATTGCATTGGTTTACCTTGCATAGGGTAGTTCCCTGATTTCTATACAGGGTGAGTCTTAAATAAGTGCAAATGTGTGCAGGGCTGGTAAATCTCGATAAAAGAAACATAATATTTTCTCTTTACCGTTTTTTTTTCAAATAAATCCAAAACAACCGAGTTATTTCACTTTTAAAATTTCCAATTTTTTGCTATAATTTTGAGAATCATTGGATTTTCGTTCTTGTAAATTTATTCTACTACCTTGTTACCATATTACAAACAAAGTATGTTTTTAAACTAAAAATTAAAAAAAAATCCAAATTTTTTTTTTAAATTCCAAATTTTCAAAAAAAAATTCGCGCAAAAAACCTCATAATCGTGTTTCTTGGGTCGAAATATACTACCCTAAAAATATTTGCACTTATTTAAGACTCACCCTGCATATAATAGGGAAAAATTGGCCAAAACGTAAGGCGAAAAAATACGCCAAAAAAACATATTAGCCCCTCCTTACATTGGAGTCCTTACATTGCCTAGTGCGACCCTGGATCGACGTACTGTACTAAAAAAATATACGACTAAGAATCTGTGTGTTTGCTTTAGCGTGATCGTAACGAAAATTACGGAGATAGCAGTATTTCGGTGGCTATTTCAGATCACTAGGAGATAGCAGATATTATTGAGTTAAAATAAAAAAAAATCTTTAATGGGAAAAAATATCTTTGCTTTCCCTACTTATAGAGTATTTTTTTCTCTTTCTAATGGTATAAAAAAACTTATTAACGTAAAAATGGAGTTAGCAGGTTTTCACGTTTCACTGACGATATGTGCTTGAATTATAAATAAAAAATATAATACTAGTTAATAAGTCAAATTAAAAACTACATATAAATTTACAAGTCAAAATAATAAAAAAAAACGATTGCATTGCATACAACCAAAGTCACATGACAATTTGAGATATTAGGTAATAAATAATATAATCTTTCAACACAAAATAATCAACTTAATATTATACCATATATACATAAAATATAAATAAAAAATTTCTATAGTACAAGTGTTAGAATAATAGAAAAAAACATAAAAAAATTAAGAAAAAAATACACTTAAGGCTTGTACATTATAGAAATACAATTACACTGTCATTGATTACACATTAACATTTGATAAAGATATGTATACTTAATAATAAATGAGTCTTGTTACTTATCAATTATTTTTAAAGCATATTATGTGTTCAACATGCCAAAAAAATATATATTATCATTTCATCATACAAATCCAGTTACAAACCAATAAAACTTCTAATACTTATAAAATACCCGACTGAGATCCTGATCTCAAACGTCTTGCTGTTATCTGATCAGGAACTTTTTGAGTAGTCTTAGATTTGTTTATAGGTGTGACACTAAGAGTTACACTATTGTTTTCGTTGCTGGTTTTCTTGGAGAGTGCCTCACTATGCTGTTGGATCCTATCGTTCTTGTATTCTTCTCCTAATAATTCTTTCTCTAGTAGTTTTCTTTCACTTATAGGAGATGGAGTTGAGGGTGCACTGTTCTTAGTTATTATTTCTAGTTCCTCTGAATTTTGTCTCAAGTCCTCAACAGTATACGATCTATTTTCAATGTACAGTTTATTCCCCTTAATGTAGGATTTGTTGATAGGGTTCTCTCTTGCCTTTCCTAAATGTCTTCTTAATATCTTGTTTTCTTCTCTTTGCATCACAGTAAGATCTTGTGAGATTGACACACCAGTGTTTTTTAATTTTCTACACTGCCTAAGAACTTCAACTTTTTTTAAATTAGATATAAATTCTACTTTAACTACACTCTTTGATTTATTTAAATTATAATATTTGTTTAGGTCCGCGACTTGTAGATCTATATCTAGGAGCTCACCAAGTTTTTTGCAAGTTTCTTCTGGTGTATTTTTTTCACTGCTTTCCAATCCAAAAACCAATATGTTATTTTTCCTCGTAATACGATCAAGTATCTCTATTCGGTTCTGCAGGTCTGTATTTTCCTTTTCCAAATATTTAATTCTGTTATTTGCCGTTTCGATCTGTAACAATATCCTCGTTTCTAGGGCTTCTATCGTAGATTTAATTTCGATTTTGCTTTGCACAATTTCTTGCTTAATGACTTTCAATGCTTGCTGTATTTCATATGCCATTATAAAATCAATGTATATGTAATATATGATACTCTGTATAATTTATACTTTTCGTTAATAAATTTTTAAAAATCGATCACTGCGTTTGACCTACTTGCTAGACTGATTTTTAAGATTTTGATAGTCAAACAACACAAAATATTCCTTATGTTTGGGCTAAATTTTCTCGAAAATAAAGACATAATTTAAAATTTCGTTACAATACGGAAATAGATTGAAGTTTTGTTATTACACTGATATACAGGGTGGCGCACCTCATTCGCCTCGGTTGATTATACGAAAACGGAAAGATGTAGAAACAAAATATTTTATGGGTATATGTGGGGAGGCAAAGTGCACAATTTAAAATTATTTTGAAATATACAGGGTGTTTCAGAACTAAGATCCATACCAAAGTTATATTTGTTCTGATGGAACACCCTGTATTTTATTTAATTTTGGATTCTTAGGTCCAAAAAAGGCATTTATTATAAGGGTTAAATATCTTTAAAATCTTTGGTTTTTGAGATATTTAAAGCTATTTAAATTTGCACGCTACAAGAAAATAGATTAATAACACCCTGTACATTACTTTTCAGAATTAATCCTTATGCTGAGTTTAAAGGTAGAGAAATAAACTTTACAGAAAAAAAAATTATTGCTTCCTTACTTTATACAGGGTTATCAAAAATTGCTGATCTATTTTAAGAATATATTTTACATAAAAACTTCGTTATTTGAAATACAACACCCTGTATTTTTTAAAATAACTCCAAGCAGATTCAAATTCTCTTTCAAACTATATTAGGGTTTCCGATACCTAACTAGCTTAGATTTTGAATAAAGATCAATTTTTCAATAAAAAGACAACCAAGAAGGCTAGTGTCGTCATGGCAAGTTTCTAGTGACAGTTAGTACCTATTTTCAAAATCGAAATTAGTTCATGGACTTATTTAAATTTATACCAGTTTACTTTTATTTAATTTACCTACAATAGTTTAATAAATAATATTCATTAAATATGTATTTATTATTCTATCAAGAAAAACGAAGAAGTAGCGTTCTTTGATTTATTTTACAATGATTTGTAGATATATGGATTTTCTAAAAAAGAGCCAATTATGACAAATTCATTTTCTTCACTTCCAAAGACAGATTTCTGCCTAATAGGTTTTTTATAAACCACATTACCAGCTCTGCGAAATAGGACAAATAGTTTTTCAAAGGAACGCTTATCAGAAAGATTCCTATTTGGATTTCTTTAAGCATAAGCCCTTGAGGCCAAGAAGCAATTTTCCTCACAAAATAAAATCACTAGTAACCATAGAGCTAGTAACATATTATCTATTGCTTTATTTTTCTTGATAAAATAATGCATGCTTATTTATTAAAATATTGTAGGTAAATTTAAGTAAACTGTTACAAATTATAAATAATAATGTCCATGAACTAATGTTTACTTTTTTGTTATTAATCTACGACTTTGGAAATAGTTATTAACTGTCACTATAAAATTGCCATAGCGATATCATCCGTCTTGATTGAAATTTTATTTAAAAATCGCTTTTTATGCAAAATCTGAGCTAGATAAGTATAGGAAACCCTAATATAGTTTGAAAGACCATTTGAATCTGCTTGAATTTATTTAAAAAAATACAGGATGTTGCATTTGAAATATCGAAGTTTTTATATAAAATATATCTTTAAAACAGATCAGCAACTTTTGATAGCCCTGTATAAATTTAAGGAAGCATTACCATTTTTCAGTAAAGTTTATTTTCCTACCTTTAAACTCAGCATAAGAATTAATTCTGAATAGTAATGTACAGGGTGTTAATAATCTATTCTATTGTAGCATGCAAATTGAAATATCTTTAAATATCTCAAAAACCAAAGATTTAAAAAATAAATAAATAAATGCCTTTTTTTGGGCCCAGGAATCCAAAAATGAAATAAAATACAGGGTGTTCCATAAGAAAAAATATAACTTTGGTATGGATCTTAGTATTATATCTTATATACAGGCCGGCAATGGATCTCAGGCATGTGAATTACATGCATTGGAATGAAACGCCTATAAAAAAGTCTTCTCTTTCAGAGATCGACAACAACTTCGTTTCCACTCCACTATGACTGTCTACTTAGACAAACTCCAACAAGATAACAAATTTTGTAACAAATTCCTCGCTATTTCCCATCCACTGCTGAAGCTCTGCATACCCATCTCCCTGCCCTTTATTTATCGCCATTATTTGCATTTCCCTTATTTTCCGCGCCTCCGCAAGCTCGCAGGTTCCGACTCCCGTCGAATTCATCATAGAGTTGCCAGGTCGACCGGTTTCGTCTGTAAGCTACCGATCTACCGATTTAAAGAAAAATCTAACGATATATTCAGCTGCGTCTTTAGTTTTTACAATAGAAGCACTTTTAAAAAGCTGACTTATTTGACTAAAAATTAAGCGACTGCCATCGTTGGAATCTGTATAATCTGACTTTTAATTATTGTTTCATTAAATTTTATTTAGTAATAGAAGCACACATATTAGGTCATCGTTCTGTCTAGTTATTAGTTACAGAGATATTCCTAAAATCCTTATTACTCCTTTATTAGGCGCACAAGGTATTGGCGACATGCGCACTGAAAAATAGTTGATATCTTTTTCCAAAAAATTTTATTTCATTCATAATCTAAAGATAATTGAACCTATTATTTTCCCCCAAAAATGTAAACAAAAACAAAATTTACATCTAAGAAAACAACCTAAATTCGGACAAATATTTTAGTGATTTTCCCGTCAAAAAATATATATTAATATGAAAAAAGAGTTGACCAATATTTTTTTCCCATTGAAATAAATTAATATTAGATATCACTGATCAAAATTTATTCAAAGGTAAAAGTATTAGACAAAATATTGAGTCTATATTTGAGGAAGAAAAGTGCCAGCATTTAAACCACCTAAAATACTTATACTCCTTATTAGTGCGAAGTCCAATGGCATTGTCACCGTTAAAGTCGAAGATGTAAGAAAAAGTTTATTAATATATTAATATTAATAAATTCAATATTTTTTTAATATTCTGTAATATACTAGCTATTTCTAAAAAAGTTAAGTTATATTTATTATATTTGTATTATTTTAGTGATCTATTATTACGACACATAGGAATGCTAATTTTGGACTTAAATATTATATTTTATTTCTAAGTTTCTGTACTTTTTAATTTTTGTTGAAGATCTACCGAGAATTTTGTTCGCGTATGGAATTATAATCTAACAAACCCGGCAACCCTGTTCGTCTACTCCTTATAAAGTTTTTCGGCCTATTCCTTTGTCACAGCTGCGGCTTTGTGAAGCGCCGCCGCCGACCGACTGTGTCGGGGCGACTGCTAGGAAGATCATACAGTATTGCCATTTCATAGAATTGCACTTGCTATTTTAGAAACGATATCAATGTTTTGCATGTTACTTTTTCGTTTTAGAAAGAAATAAATTTGACAGCTTACCGCAGTGTGCTTTAAATAGAGACAGTGTACTATAGCATAATTTTATGCCGAATCCAGGTATCTACAGAAAATTAAACTTGCTTTAAATAAAAAAAAAAGTCGTCAGAAAATCTCTAAAAGAGAAAATATTCGTAAAATTGTTTATATACTTTTATTTAATATTTCATTAAGTAGGCAAGATAATGTGATTAGAAGATTTAGGATTTTTGACAAGCCAACATAATTTGAAAATTTAATTGAATGGCAACACTGTTTTACCGATTTCTATTTTTTTTTATTCTGTTCTATTAGTGAGCGGTAGCCCCCACACAAGCGTCTTAAAGACCCGCCCGGCGCCCCGTCTCGCAGGGGCTCTCTCGTCGTATCACTTCTATGATCACTTCCCCTATACGATGGTAGGGAAAAGACACTTTATCCGTCTCTGTTGCACTGCAGTATATTTTGCAGCCTTACCATCTTTTTTTTATCGCATTGAAAACCTCCTATTGCTAATATTCCTTTGCCAGTAGTGTATAACTTATGTACAAATAAAAAAAGTTTTAATATTGCACAGGAATAAATAAAACACATCATAAACGAAACAAAATATTTTCATAAAATCATTTCAACAATTTACTATTACAATTATTTGTATAAAATGTCTTTGAAAAAGAAAGAAAAAATTACACTTTTTTTAACAATAGGTCCATAGACGTAGCCGATTTCGATTTGGAAAAGAGACGCAGAAGCAGTATTGCGAATTCTACCGGCAATGAAATGACAAGTAACAGCAATAGTTTCAATGAAATGACTGAGTCTGGAGACGATGAAAACAGTAGCTCCATAATGGAACATATGAAAAGTTTAGAGCAGCGTGTTAAGGAAGTTTGTGCAAGGTAGTGTATTTTTGACACACAGGGTTATTCACCTCGTTCGACACGGGGTATTGTAGCCACACGATTAGATTTTTAGAAATTGTGAGTTGGGAGGACTACCAAAGCTACAATTTAAAATTATTTTTAAAAGGTTCAAAGTGTCCCAAATAAATAAAAATATCGAAGTTGTGTATTTTTTTAAATGGAACATATATATTATGTATATTATTACATTTTTAGTTTCTACGATTAAAGTAAAGGTAAATTTAATTAAGGTTTACTGCACTTTAATTTTACAGCTTTTGAAATATTTGCGATTTTGTGAAAATACAGTAACAATTTTAATGCTTCATTTTTCTAGGTGTATTTAAGTTTTTATTGAATAGATATTTTTCTATAGTTTTAGAACATTTACAGTTAGGTATTTTTCGATTTATTATCTGTTATACCCATAGACTTAAAATAAAATATAGACTACACTATTTACATCTCAACGCGGTCAAACAATCTTTTTTGTACACATGTTTACTTCTGGGTACAGTCGACCGAGCCTTCCTCATCCAGCCTATGTTGTCACGTCTTTAATATTATCAATATTTTTTTTCTTGTTATACACATATATTGAGATATTAATACTACAGTTTAATAAAGTAGGTTTTAATATTCCATAGATGTATTAAATAGTCCTTATACTACTAAATTATAAGTTGGATACTGTTTAAAAAGGATAAGTTCTTTACAATATGACAACACCGATTAGAGGCGAGGGAGCCTATTCATTCATTTATTACCTTGTAGTACGCGTCGCACGTGTGCGGTAAAGCTTTGTTGCCGCTATGTTCCCGGCTGTATTAACGCATTTTCTTAGCTTGTAGTCCTTAAGTGTTTATTTTATTGACTTTTTCTGTTCAAGAACTATAAAATATGGTTCGCCAGTGCCAAATTTGCAAGAAAAATTTGACTTAAATAATTCATTTAAGTCTTGAAACTCTCAATTTACCCATTAGGAGTCAATGGCGTTGTTGTAGAAAGGCGCTTATTTAGATAATATTTTAGTAAAATGTAAAATCTGAATTTTTTCTCTTACATTACGTTGTTTACTTACTTACATTGTAACAGAATCATAATTATAACCCTGTTAATAATTAATAATGTTTTTATTAAAAATATATTCCGGTTTATTCTAAAATTATCTTTAGAATCTAAAATAACATACTAGAATTTTAAAATGATATTACATTATGAAACAATATTTTTTAATATACCGGGTCGTCTCAAAAGTGGCTCACCCCTATAACTTTTTTTATTTTTTCAGATAAAAAACACAGATTTGTATGTTAGTAGGTATATGACATAAATTAGGATTTATTGACGTATTCAATTGTTTTTGGTCTCTTCCTGTTTCACCGATATGATTACATCTTGATTTTTAAAGGCACCCTCGGTATATTGCTACTTTATTCGATAGAAAATGACACTCTGAATAGAATGACATATCATATGTCAACTTTTGACATTGTCGCTTAAAAACAAATCGTATTTTAAATTTCAATCCGGGGTGCCATGGTGTTGTTAAAAACACTAAGTTTTAATCAAGGAGCCTTGGAAAAATAATTTTGATCGTCTAATAGGTTTCGTGTCTTGTCTAGGCCGGTTAAAAGATGTACAAATCGTATTTTTAATCATACATATGTCAATTTTTTCAAATGGAACAAAGGTAACTCATTGCATATTTGGAAAAAGCAGTTTTTTATGAATATATTGATACCACACACTTGGTATTTCGAGTCAAATTGTCGTTATGAACCGCGTGTTACAATTACAATTAAACCATATGCGAAAATGTCAAAAGTTGACATATGATATGTCATTCTATTCAGAGTGTCATTTTCTATCGAATAAAGTAGAAATATACCGAGGGTGCCATTTAAAAATTAAAAGTTATAGTCATTTCCGGTGAAACAGGAAGTGACCAAAAACAATTGAATGCGTCAATCAATCCTAATTTATGTCATATACTAACATACTAAATCTTGTTTTTTATTTGAAAATATAAAAAATTATGGGGGATGAGCCACTTTGGGACGCACCCGGTATAATAAAGACAGTACCGAGTTAAATAAATGTAGTTTTCATTTTATCCACTTCCTATCACCTTCCTTGCTTTAATCGAACAGATATATGTTTTCTCTAATTTACATAATAAGACATCACTTAACCAGAAAAAAAATTACAACAATTATATTTTTTTTCTCTCCCTGTCGCCGATTCTATTATATCTGTGGAATAGATCCTGTTTTGATTAATATTAGGGGTTGTAAATGTTTGACTAAAATTAATAATTTTTAATTAATTTCAAAAATTACGTAATTTCGACTATAAAATTTCTTCTATAACGTGTATTTTATTATTTTTATCCTTTTTGGACTCTAAGACGTTTTTTCTAAACTTTTATTTAAAAAACCTGTCCTAAATCTTAATAAAATATAAAAAAGTTTAAATACGATATATTTTTAATTTAATTATAGCTTCATTAAAATAAAAAAATTACCCGGCTATGATACGGAGAGTTCAGGTGTACTTGAGAAACGAAAGACAGTGTTGTGTTTCTCGGCAGAGTCGTCAGGGAACGACCGTTACGACAGAGACAACCTATCTATCGCTCGTGTCGCACTCGTTATAACCTAAAACAATAACACAACAATAACAAGACATTGTCTGACCGCATGTTCCAGCTATTTATGAATGAGATGCTCAGTCTATATTTTATTTTAAGTCTATGGTTATACCTGTTATAGAAATATGTTTTATAGTTGTCTAGGACACATTTTTGTAACTTTTACAGTTATCTTTTGATTTATAATAAAGTTTCAATAATTTTTTTTTGATTTAAATCAAATGATTAAAATTGAAAAAATCACTTGATTTAAATCATGCCAACCCTGGTTCCATGGGTATATTAATAAATGGGGTCTAAATTATAAAAAAAAACATTTTCTACGAAAACTCGAAGAGATAGGCAAGAAATGGTATAATACAATTTGATAGACAATTAAATTATGCATCTGATTCACGTAAAATATACAAGGTGTTCTATTTAAATTAGGTAAAAAAAGTTATGTTCCATCTAAAAAAATACAACTTTGATATTTCTTCTTTATTTGGGTCCCATCACTCGCAGTTTGTAAAAATTCAATAATTTGTCTACAATACTCCGTGTCGAATGAGGTGAATAACCCTGTATAAGAAAAAAATCTGTAATGTAAAATGTCACCTATATTTATAATTATTAATAATGTTTTTAAATAGATTGGTTTTTTATTCTCAGGTCAAATGGTTTGTTAAGTCTATATCATTCTGTGAATAACTGTTATATTTTGGAAATATTACACGGTCTTATCCAAATATTTGTGCGAGTTCATCCAGAAGATAGTCGCGTGGCTGAAATAGAGTACGACTCTTGTGTTAATGGTAAGTTAAACTAATATATTTAAATGTCTCGAGGAAGCGACTACACTGTACTTCGTGTACGCCTAAATCTGTTGGCGACATAATTTTGATCTCTTATCATCTTCAATTAAAGCAACCATAGCGGATACAACTTCTAGACTTCAAACCATCTCCGCTAGGATAACTGCCCAACAGCCAACAGACAATAATAATTTGATTTTTCAATAACAATGACATTATACTAGGCAAAGGTTAGTTTTGGGTCGATATTTTCGTAGGTAAGAAGAGTACAATGCGTTTATAATGTACTGAACAAAGAGAACAGTAAAAACGTTGCTAAACATTGTGATTTTCCCTATAGCTTGTAAATCTTTAAGTGCAAGTTAGAAACACTTGCACTTTTGGTAAAAATAAGTGGAATTAAGTTGGTCTTCGACAGTGGCCGCGCTATTACAATTACATTCGCTTACAATCTCGAAATCCATTAGAATTAATTGATTGTAGTTATTTTTAACTTTCTTAATATTTCTGCTATATTTTCTTCGTAGACAGTACGTGAAAATCTTTACAAATAATGGACGGGTTTTTTAAAAATTTTGAATGAAAAAAAACAAGCCTATTGAATTTTTACATCTTGTGAAAAATCCGAACTTAAAAAATAAAAAAAAAGTTTCAATATAGTGGTATTGAGTTACCATGTGTTATGTGTTAAAAAGCTGAGCTTTTAAATTATCGCGATTACTGACGTTCTCTCGTTATAAAAAATATGGATATCCTAACGATATCCTTATAATTTCATTTTGGATGCCCAGAAACATATCTATTGATTTTATCTAGTTTTCTTTTCGAAAAAAAAAATAAAAATAAGCGGTTTGCGATCGTGATTTTACTTTACTTGATAGGGAAGGCGTACCGGAGAAATGTGGCAACGCCGCAACAGCAAACCGTCGCATTTCTCTCACTCCGACTTAATAAGATCCCTTTGCTATTTAGTTTTCCACACGTGTAAATACCGACCCAAAGTAAGAGTTGACTAGGGCCAAAAGTAAAGGCATCATTTTAATGTAAAAATTACGAAAAAATGTTCGTGTCTTCTTCAAAAACGAATATCTCCAAAAAAATAAAATAAACTTCGAGAAAAGATGCGCCTAGATGATAAAAAGAGATTGAAATTCCTCACTTTTTTAACATATTCCACCCTGTATAACAAATATTTTAATTTTTCACTTTTAGTGCCGATTCTTATTCATACAACTCTGCATGATCCCTATCTCATTGATTTGATATATTTCCGCATATTTTCTTTTAGAATCAGCAGCTACAATTATCCATTTTAAAGTACACAACATCAAACAGAAATTGGAACCGGTAAATTTGAAATCTTACCTAGGATCATACTACGACATTTTATCACTTTTGGATTACGTTTGCCTGACGGTAGAGGATTTCGAGAGGTTCCATTCTGAATTTATAATATTGCAACGTAAACACGCTACATTGAAAATTGAGAAAGATTTAAGGTGAGTAGTTTATTTTTATTAGTAGTTTATATTAAAAGACAATCAGAATACATTTATTATTACACAATATCATTTTTAAGTGTTCCTCTCGCTCTTTCTTTGCGTTAAAGCACTTCCAGCTCTTTGCAAAGTTCTAGTCCTTCCAAAAAACCGAGATTTTCTTTTAAATAATAATACTTCTAATTCTAATAAAAAAAGTTTTAAAGCGTCGGTATTCCAGTGCCGGACAGTGGCACAACACGTGCTCTATGGTTTCTTTTTCCTCTCCGCATTCTCTGCAGTAGTCGTCGTTGAAAATCTTCCATCTCACAAGGTTTACACTTACAATTATGCGTACTAGTTTTTTTTTGTGTTCTAGTAGTTGTTTTGTCTATCGTTTTGTTTGTATAATACGTCGTTTTTTTGTTTATCATGAAAACGAAAATAATTTATCTGTGTAACTTTATTTTGCGCTTCTAATCGAAGCATTTTTTTAGCATATTGTTTGAGGTTCTGAACGCTTCTCCGCCAGTCTGGTGGACGATACGTTTCGGGATGTCCTCGACAAATAAAATACTATTTGAGAGTGCACAATCGCGCTATGGCCATATCAATGAAGAGCACATCAAACAAATTTCAAGAGATGTTCCAGAGGATTTAAGTTGTTTGGGGAATTTTATCGATAAAGTTGCCGAGTATTGCAAAAAGACGCTGGTAGGACTTAAGAACATAAAACGGAGTTAGTGTTAGTGTGCAGAAGTAGTGTATCGGTTTAAAGTATAAAAGAAAGATGCATTTATATTTTCTGCAATAGTTGATGATAGTATACTTATAAAAGAATATACTGTGTGTATTGCACGAATTCTTGTCTCATTCCATATATGTCTATGTATCTTTGGTTTAGCTGACGATTACTACGCTTGCTCAGCGATTGAGCTCTCTGATTGGGCTGTTCTTAGTCATACGTTTGACAGATTATTAAATGTATTTAAAATAAAACACAAACAAGTTACTTGTCAATAACTAAATATCGCAAATGCTTTGGGCCCCAAACAGTATATTAATTATAAAATAATAAATATAGGAAAGAAATATTTGCTTGCAGTCTTATTTTAATTCCATCAGAATGTAAAAAAATATCCTGATGATCTGAATTGTATATATGTAGTATTTGTTATTTATGTATACATTATTTGTCATTTTAAGATTATTTCTGTGTATAAATAAAAAATTATCTAAATTTTATTTTTCACACGAACATTGTATATTTTTTAGTTTTAATTTTTCCTAAAATTTTACTTAATTGGATTGATAAAAATCATTTTTCCTTTGTACCTTTTGCCCTCCACTAAATCGCAAGGTTTCGGATTCGAGAGACCCTCATCAATCTTAATTTAAATACGGATTTTTTATTTTACTATCTAGTGTCTATTATAACTACAAAATTAATTGTGATTTAAAGGATCTGCAGGCGAGACGATCGCCTGCAGATCCAAAATCAAAATGTGATGGTATATGATAACACCCAAACGAAGTATTAAGATTTAGTAAGAATCTGTAGTGATATCTTTTAAAAATATTGACGAATCCACAACTACTCTACCGAGATTAATAAACGTTTGCAGTGTGTAACAGAAAAACGTTACACGCTTATTTTTGACGTCCAACGTGGGGCCAAATTTTATTGTATTAAACCTCCATAGTCGAGTATAAAAGGAAAAAAAATGTTTTTATTTCGTTTATTGTTTCATTGGCGATAGATATTTTGCACTATCAGACAATTGTTTTTTAGACTTTATACTAGTATTTTAATTTAATTTTTCCTAAAATTTTACTTAATTGGATTGATAAAAATAATTTTTCCTTTGTACCTTTTTTCCTCTACTAAATCGCAAGGTTTCGGATTCGAGAGACCCTTATCAATCTTAATTTAAATACGGATATTTTATTTTACTGTCTAATGTCCATTATAACTACAAAATAAATTGTGATTTAAAGGGTCTCCAGGCGATCATCTGGCGATTGAAATATGTGATGGTATATGATAGCATACAAACGAAGTATTAAGATTTAGTAAGAATATGTAGCGCTATCTTTTAAAAACAGACGAATCCACAACTACTCTACCGATATTAATAACCATTTGCAGTGTGTAACAGAAAAACGTTACATACTTATTTTTGGCGCCCAACGTGGGGCCAAATTTTATTGTATCCTCCGTAGTCGAGTATAAAAGGAAAAAAAAATGTTTTTTTTAATTTCATTTATTGTTTCATTGGCGATAGGTATTTTACACTATCAGACAACTGTTTTTTAGACTATATACTAGTGTTCTAATGTAAGAGTACGTCCTACTGTCTTATTAGTACATTTTTATATCAATAAATTGACAAAGGCGAAATATCTACGTCTATAATTAAACATTACTGTTTCTATAGCTAGGATAATAAGACCCAAGAATGTCCCTAAAGGTATGAGTAATAGGACGGGATAAAACTCGTTTAGACTTGTGTTAACTTTCGTCTATAAACGCAGACTGGTTTTTTGGTACGCCAGAACATATATTCTTTCTCCAAAACTCCACTTTCCGCTATGCGTTGTAAGCTAGAAGAAAAAAAAACATTGAAATACTTAAAAAAAGAGTTGGCTTGGAAATGAAGAACGTAGTCATATTATGCTAGGTTATTTCATTTCCGTGATCTGTACTTTAATGCGTACGGCAGAGACATAAACATAGGTATACGACCAGTTAACAGAGAGACAAAATGAAAAGCGGCATACGGTGTTGCCGGTTAGTACGAGAAATAAAATAATAAACGAAGATAATATCTAAGTACTGCTTGAGGCAACCTATAGGAGTTTATAGATCTTGAGTGCAACGTACATATATTATGTACGTTTTATTTTATTCCTCCTTACACTTCACGGTATTCATTTCAATATTTGCTTACCATACGTCCAGCATATCTCTATAAGGCGAATGTCTGGGGTAAGTCGCATAAAGATTGATAGGTTTAAAGAGCTGGATCTCTTTGAATTCGCATACTTCTTCATCGTCGCAATTTTCCTTCAGAAAGGTATAAGCTTTATCTAGTTCCACGTGGAATATTAATTTGCCTTTTCGGGCGCGCACCAACCCGTCGTTGGCTTGGATGAAGGCAGTTGATTCTTTGCCTCTTATCCATTTACGATACATTTCTATGGAAGCTTTATCATCGGCAAACTAAAAATCATTTAATGTGTAGTTTCTATACAGGGTGCTACAGATTCGGGGTACGAGCATTGGTATCTCGGTAACCGTAATAGATACGAACATGGTTAAATTGGGGCAAAGTTGCGCTTTGGGATGTTCACCAAGATGCCATCAAAAAAGTTTTAAAAATTTCAAGGATTGCTGAGTTTTTTGAAAAAAAAACTGATTTTTTGAAAATCAATTTTATTTTTTCTTGTCGTTACTTTCTAGAAAATCAAAAAAACTAATTGCACATTCTCATAGCCACTTTATTAGGGCTATCTGATAGTATTCTTAGATTTTCAAATTAGTTGATAATTTGTGAGATACAGAGACCAACTTAATTTATTTAAATACGGACCTGCATTTTTTATTTCAGATTTTGAAAGAACTCGGTCTCCTGAGTATAATGATATGCCACACTTAATATTTTTTTTGTTTTGACATTTGAACACAATTTTTTTAAACTAATTTCAAGTCCGGCTCTGTTTTTTCTTTAAATATTTAATATATTCATCGTTACAATATTGATAAGCTTTTAAACTTAACAATGACGTGGGGTAAAACATTGAATACGGAAAATCAAATGCAATAAAATAATATAACAATAATTAATATAAATAATATAATATAAACAATCAACTCATTTTCCCGGAAGATGGATTGGAAATGGTAGAGCAGTATCATGTCCAGCGGGGTTCCTGGACCTATCGCCAAGGGGCTACATTACTTGACGTCATTTGTAAAAGTGAAAACAATTCATCTCAACATTTACAATAAAGAGTACAAAATACATTCGGAAGTATAAGAAGAAAGTTCAAAGAGCTATAAATAAAATTGAGCGAAAAATAAATTTGTGCAATAGGGAGGGTGGTAACCCTTTCGAACATGTAGAATATTAGAAACTAGTTTGTAGAAGTTGATTTATTTATAATAACTACGATTAATATTATGCATATTATTAGATCGCACACTGAGATTTCAAATTCACAACAAAAAAAGTTAAAAATAATATCTTTAAATTTCTGACCTGGCTATTATTTATTTGAATCTTCCAATTGGCTCGAATTTTCTTATTCAATGTTAATTAGCGCTGATCAATATTGTTGCGATGAATATAATCAGATTAAATACTTCTAGAAACCAGAGTCGGACTTGAAATTATTTTAAATAATAATTAAATAGTTTTGTTGCTGTTAAGGTATCCAAAACAAAAAAAAGTATAAAGTGTGGCATATCATTGTACTCAGGAGACCGAGTTCTTTCAAAACCTGAAATAAAAAATGGAGGTCCGTATTTAATAAAAATTATTTGGCCTCTGTATCTCACACATTATTAGCTAATTTGAAAATCTAAAAATACTATCAGATAGCCCTAATAAAGTGACTATGAGAATGTGCAATTAGTTTTTTGATTTTATAAAAAGTAACGACAGGAAAAAATTAAATTGATTTTCAAAAAAAACGCTTTTACCAAAAAACTCAGCAATCGTTAAAACTTTTTTGATGGCATCTTGGTGAACATCCCAATACGGGGCAACTTTACCCCAATTTAACCATGTTCGTATCTGTTACGGTTACCGAGATACCAATGCTCGTACCTCAAATTTGTAGCACCCTGTAGAATAAAAAACGAGAAAAAATTGAGGATTTTGTTTAAATGCAAACCTAAAGTAGGATGATAAAGAGGATGTATTTCAGGCAAATACTTAGATTGTGTATCTTAATTCTTTTAATGGACGGTACTACCTTAAAATACTCTTTATTGACTCCAATGTTTTCAAGAGCGATTTCAATGTTGAGGTCGAGCAAATCTTGAATACTTTTAACCAAAACTAGCGGTACGTTTAACAGTGACGATACTAGAGTTCCGGAGTAGAACAAGTAAACGAAAGTGGTTAATAGCAAGGTGAAATAGACGCTGATCCTTCCAGAAGTTACTCTAGGTATAGTTAACAGACCTGAAGAAGAATTTTTAGCTTATATCGAACATTTCAATTAGCTGTATTAATCTGAGTTAAATACATACCTACAGATAAATGAAACAAGTTTAGATTGGAAAGTGCCCATAAGGACAATGTAAACATTATTTGGCGCTATTCTTGCAACGGTCGCGACCCAAAAGCTTTTGAAAATTTCGGAGCGGTTCGGCTTTTTCCGGAATTATATCGCCAAATATTATTTATTAAAATTTATTATTATTTTCTTTTAATTTTATGAATAAAATACAGTGTGTGCATACAAGAAACTTTATTTGATATAAGGACATGTATGAAATACCTATGAAACATTGGAAACCGACGTTATGCCACGATCCACGATGGTTTTTGCAGTTCACAGTTCACAGCACAGCTTTTTAAGTTTTTAATGCCACTTTTTCACAATTATCACGGGTTGGAGTAAATAAAATTTAAATTAAACTCACAAGATAGCAATAATTACTTTGAAAATGGACGCTATAAACCCCTTTCGGACTTTTTTCAATGAGAGCGGTTTAGATTTTGAAAGATTTTATAATTTTTGAAGATTCTGACTTTGACAAGAGAAAATTATTTCTGTTTTTGTTTGCGGTTGTTCTTAGCAACCGCTACAGCAGCGCCAGATTGCGTACAACGGTCGCGACCTAAAATTTTGACGGGCTTTCCAATCTAAACTTGTTTCGTTTATCTATGTACATACCTTGTTGACAAACAGCAGCAATAACGGATAAATACGAAAAACTCCAGGAGTTGTCATCAATTGTAAAATCCATCGATAAACACAATTTAATAACAATAGAACATAAAAACAAACAAATAATCAAAACAAACCATACTTCAGTGGTGACCGGCCTGGTAAACAATTTGAAAGAATTTCTTGATTTTGGGTTTTTGAAAATGAATGCCGATCTGCAATATAACATTTTTCTTGTGAATAACATGTCAGTAATACAGTAATAATTTCCCCTCTGGAAGTCTTCTTTAAACTTTTGTTTAATTAATATTGTTTTACCTGAGCTTCCATGTATGTCGGCCCATTGTCATAGCCCTTGTTCTGTCAATTCTAGCAAACAGAGCACTTAGTCCAAAATCTATAGTGGCTTTTTGTAACTGTCCACTGAGACCATCCATCACACCGTTGATTGTTTTATATCCGTAATTGTTTATGACAGAAATATTATAACTGAAAAAAATCAATTATCGAATAAGATAGATTTTTTTTATTATAATATACAGGGTGGTGCCTCCCGTACGCCGCGGATGCTTCAAGGAGAACGACTGTTTTTATTGAAATAACATTTTGGGAGCATATGTAGGTTAATATAGAGCATGTTTTAAAAATATAGAGAGTTCTACAGGGTGTCGCCAAAAAAAGTTACAATCTAAGTTGTTTTTTTTATAAGAGAACACCCTATACAGGGTGGCGCCTCTCATACGCCGCGGAATCTCCAAGGAGAACGGTAGTTTATATCGAAATGAAATTTTGGCATATACATATAGGTTAACTGAAAACATTTTATAAAAATATATATAGTATAGAGTTATACAGGGTGTCCCCAAAAAAAGTTACACATCAAAGTTGTGTTTCTTCTTCATACCTATCATCTAAGGATTTTGACATATTTAAGTCAATAATAATAAGAGTCAATTTTAAATTTCGATAACAGCTACCTAAATTTTAGTTGACTTTGTATAGCCTGATATTTAATTACAGTAACCATTGTATGTTAAACCAAATTGAAATTTGACCCGAAAAGTTATATAGGGTGAGAAAAAATTAATATGGAACATTAGTCACTTTTAAAAGCAAGTTACTCCTTTATTTTAAATGGAACACCTAGTATATTTTTCCGATGTTCATTGGGAAATTTATATATCTTCAAAATATTATTAAGGCTGCCTATCCATCAGACAAAGATTTTCCTAGAAATTTTAATTTTTATGATTTTACGTCAGTAGATCTTTATAATTTGAAAAAATCTAGGGTGGCTGTGTGATTTACCTTTTGTTAATTTAACAAAAATTAAAGATTGTAGAGTAAAATACTCAACGCTAATAAAAAGATACACGTTTAAAACATATTTTAACACGTTAAAGCACCGTTAAAGGCCATGGTGGGCCCTAGGGACCGCCAAAGGAAGTACCCTCTACGCCACGGAGGTCCCCAGGGACCGCTCGGTATTCGGTTCGAATTATTTGTTTCACAAGCCAGCGGTCCTTGTTTAAGCCTGTTTGAGTGTGATGGGCGGACCTCTCTGGCTTGCGCGGCATGTATACCTATGCGAACTTTTTGATTTGAAAAAAAACTAGATTTTTTTGAATTTCAAATGTTGAAAGTATATGATAAAATTATAACTTGGCCCAGAGAGCATTTTTTAAACATTTTGTTTGGCGCTTAACGTGTTTTATTACAGAATTAAAACTAGATATAAACCTATAATTATGTGACAAAAATTAGCTAGATGAAATCAAATGCTCAAAATGCTTCCTTTCCTGTTAACTGCAAAAAATGATTGTCTTTTCAAAAGGATATTTTCATTTTAAAAGGCATATGTGGTGTACTACCTCGAAAAGCAACTACAATAATTTCTCTCATGTTGTTGACAATAGTTGGTCGAGTTTTGTAAACACTGTCTTTATCATATCCCCATAAAAAAACCCAGACTAGATAAAATCAGGAGCATTTAATTATTCTGTTAATTGGTTAATGCACACTGCATTTACCAACTAATAGAATCATGTCAATTCTTTCTGATGTAGGATAAGTTTGCATTTTCGGCAAATTTCTTAGATATTTTTTATGTTTTAACTGACACAAAATGATAACTAGATGTTAAAGTTGGACTAATTAGACAGCTATGTTGAAGTAACGTCAGACATATCACAGCCACCTAGATTTTATCAAATAATAAAGATCTACTCAGATCAAATCACGTAACTGAAAATATCTAGAAATCTTTGTTTGAGGGGTAGGCAGCCTTAACAGTATTTTGAAGAGACATGAATTCTCCATTGAATATCGGAATAATATACTAGGTGTTCCATTTAAAATAAAAGAGAAACATGCTTTTAAAGGTGACCAATGTTCAATATTAATTTTCTCTCACCCTGTATAACTTTTTAGATCAAGTTTTAATTTGATTTAAAGTACAATAGTTAAGTTAACTATATATGAGGCTATACCGGGTAAATTCCAATTTAGATAGGTTTTATTGTAATTTAAAAATTGTTCTTTATTTCTAGAAAATGCTAAATATGTCAAAAACCTTACATTTTAGTCATATACTTCTCTTACAAAACTCACCTTTATTTTTCTCCCAGAATCCGAAAATCAATTAATATATAGGATGTTCCATTACAAAAAATACCACTTTGATATGTAACTTTTTTTGGACACACCCTGTCACAAAATTCTATTTCAATGCAAACTATCGTTCTTTTTGGAGCTTCCGCGGCGTATGAGAGGCGCCACCCTGTATACCTATAAATAAAAGGTCATATAAAAAAATTAAATATGTTTAAACTCACTCAAACTCGTAGTGTTTAGCGCAAAAACTTATGAGCCTGGCATGAAATCTACTGTATGTATTTTTATCTCTTTGTTCGTTGCTTTCTAGATATTCTTCAGGTGATTCAATGTGACGACCTTCATGAAACTACAACAAATTTAGAATTAACAACCAACTAACTCAAAATACCTATTAATTTTACCGCAACCATAGCCTTAAAAGTAACTCCACCCAAATTTCTTCGATGCCAGAATTTGTTAGTAACAACGTCTTCCACTTGAAAGCCTTCAGAAGGACTATAATTTCCTACTCTAGATTGAATTAATGTACCCCCTCTCTTAGATGCTGGATTATAAACATCATCTATCGCAAACTCGGATAATTGTATGTTTAGAGGATACACCACTAGGATGTTTACATCCAGATTAATATCGACATCATTAAATAAGTAACTATATTCTTGGTAGGAAGTAAAAATAAGCCAATGATATTTCAAGTCAAATCTTTCCTCATAACCACACTAAAATGATTAATTTTAATAAAAAAACAGTGTGTGCACTATGTGCGCATATTTGAAGTGAAACTTCTTACTAACAGCTATTAAATTGAAGGATTTCAAGGACATGTTTGAAAAAGTGTACTTTGATTTGTTTGATTGATTCAAGAAATATACAGGGTAGGTGGCGCACCACATTCGCCTCGGTTGATTATACGAAAACGTAAAGATGTAGAAACAAAATATTTTATGGGTACATGTGGGAAGGTAATATGCATAATTTAAAATTATTTTGAAATGTACAGGGTATGTCAGAACTAAGATCCACACCAAAGTTATATTTTTTCTTATGGAACACCCGGTATTTTATTTCATATTTGGATCCGTCGACACAAAATAAGGGCATTTATTGTAAGGGTTAAATATGTTTACAAGCTTTGATTTTTGAGATATTTAAAGATATTGAAATTTGCATGCTATAATAAAAAAGTTTGTCAACAGCTTGTACATTACTTTTCAGAATTAATTCTTGTGCTGACTTTCAAGCCAGAGAAATTAACTTTACTAAAAAATGTGATTGCTTTTTTAAATGTATACAGGGGTATCAAAAATTGCTGGTCTATTTTAAATATTTATTTTACATAAAAACTTCGTTATTTCAAATGCAACACTATGTATTTTTTTAAATAAGTCGAAGCAGATTTAAGTGCTCTTTCAAACTATATTAGGGTTTCCTATACCTATCTACTCAGATTTTGAATAAAAAGCAATTTTTAAATTAAATTGCAATCAAGATGGCTGGTGTCATCATGGCAGTTTTCTAGTGACAGTTAGTAACTATTTTCAAAGTCGACATTAGTTTATGGACTTTATTTAAATTTCTAACAGGTTATTTTTATTTAATTTAAGTACAATAAGGTTAATAAGTAAGTATTTATTATTTTATCAAGAAAAATAAAGCACTATCTGCTGACGGAGAGAATGGATATGTTACTAGCTTAGATTAACTATAGGTTACTAGTGATTTTATTTTGTGAGGACAATTGCTTCTTGGCCTGAAAGGTTTATGCTCAAAATATGCACAAATAGGAATTTTCTTGACAAGCGTCCCTTTGAAAAACTACTTTTCCTATTTCGCAGAGCTGATAGTGTGATATATGAAAAATCTATTAGGCAGAAACCTGTCGCTGGAAGTGAAGAAAATGAATTTGCCTTAATCGGTTCTTTTATAGAAAATCCAGTATATCTACAAGTCATCAAAAAGATTTAAATAAACAGCAAAATATTTTATACGTCGACTTTACGAGTACGTCCCCGCAAATCGCTCCGCCCACTCATTTTATTGGCTACTTGCAAATTTGTCGAATTTTTATTGATGGGACGCGTCGTCTAATTTTTTCCGAAAAACATCGAGAAAATATCGTTTCCCCTCCCACGGATACCCCGTAGCTACAGAACGGACAGACGTACTGTATTTTTCTTAATAAAATAATGAATACTTACTTATTAAAGTATTGTAGGTAAATTAATAAATATAATAAATAAAAGTAAACTGGTTATAAATTTAAATAAAGTCCATAAACTAATGTCGATTTTGAAAATTGTTACTAACTGTCACTAGCAAATTGCCATAGCGACACCAGCCATCTTGATTGCCGTTTTATTGAAAAATCGCTTTTTATTCAGAATCTGAGCCAGATAGGTATAGGAAACCCTAATATAGTTCGAAAGAGCTTTTGAATCTACTTCGATTTATTTAAAAAAATACATCGTGTTGTGTTTGAAATAAAGAAGTTTTTATGTAAAATAAATATTTAAAATAGACCAGCAATTTTTGATACCCCTGTATACATTTAAGGAAGCAATAACATTTTTTAGTAAAGTTTATTTCTCTGGCTTCAAAGTAAGCACAAGAATTAACTCTGAAAAGTAATCTACAGGGTGTTGACAAACTTTTTTATTATAGCATGCGTATTTAAATATCCTTAATTATTTCAAAAACCACAGCATTTAAACATATTAAACCCCTATAATAAATGTCTTATTTTATTCCCAAGAATCCAAAAATGAAATAAAATACTGGGTGTTCCATAAGAAAAAATATAACTTTGGTATAGATCTTAGCTCTGACACACCCTGTACATTTGAAAATAATTTTGAATTAAGCACATTGCCTCTCCACATATACCCATAAAAAATTGTTTCTACATCTTTCCGTTTTCGTATAATCAACCGAAGCGAATTAGTGCGCGTCCTAAGCACTTTTTGTCTCGCTAGCTCGTGTGTCACGGCCTTGAATTTTTACTACCAGCGCGCGTAAAGAAGTTTCACTTCAAAAAAATCATTGTGGCAAACTAGCATTACTTTAGTAATTATTTCTTTAGAATCATCACAATCCCCGTCTAAAATAACTCCAACTCTATTGTAGTAAACCTTAGGAAATATTTTTGTACTGTTCAAATTTATATGTAAATTAAAAACCAAAATGTTGTCCTGATTTAGTTCCTTCAATATTTTAGATACATCTATTCAGTATAAAAAATTTAGTTAAATATGATATAACAATATTCTGATATAGTACCTTTATTTTGTTGACAGTTCAGTAAATAGGCATGATTTAGAGATCTATCTTTAAGAAAGTTTATAACAATATCAGAGTTTATAAAAGCATACAGTTTACTTAAACTAAACAGTAAGAGAAACAGAATAGCAAACATTCTCATTTTTTTGTATTGTCTTATTTGATTTCACCTGAAATCGAGGTCTTTGTATTTTTACTGTAGATACCAGAGTTTTAAAACCACAAGATGTAAATTTTAAAGAATTCTTTACTTGTGAGACATATTTCAAACTCAAATGTATCGATTATTAATGGGTTTATCAATATTACAAATGTTGCCGTGAAGAATAAATCGACAGAAAAATCAATTGATCGCTAACATTAATGCTTGACCGGTGAAAAACGTAAATGACATGGTTTTACCCTTGTCTATACAGGGTGGCGTACCTCATTCGCCTCGGTTGATTATACGAAAACGGAAAGATGTAGAAACAAAATATTTTGTGGGTATATGTGGGGAGGCAATGTGCACAATTTAAAATAATTTTGAAATATACAGGGTCTTTCAGAACTAAGATCCATACCAAAGTTACATTTTTTCTTATGGAACACCCGGTATTTTATTTCATTTTTGGATTCTTGGATCCAGAAAAGGCATTTATTATAAGGGTTAAATATGTTTAAAATCTTTGGTTTTTGAGATATTTAAATTTGCATGCTACTGTTAGCATTTTTTTTGCATGCTACTTTTGTAGCATGCAAATTTAAATATATTTAAATATCTCAGAAACCAAACATTTTAAACATATTTAACCCTTATAATAAATACCTTTTTTTGGGCCCAATAAACCAAAAATGAAATAAAATACCGGGTGTTCCATCAGAAAAAATATAACTTTGGTATGGATCTTAGTTCTGAAACACCCTGTACATTTCAAAATAATTTTAAATTGTGCACATTACCTACCCACATATACCCATAATATATTTTGTTTCTACATCTTTCCGTTTTCGTATAATCAACCGAGGCGAATGAGGTGCGCCACCCTGTATGTATTAGCAACATTAATAGAGTAAATATTATAATGTAAAAAAATCTGACAGAATTGTTGGGTAGGCGCCGCCTACCTTCCCTACCCTGACGAGCCGCCACTGTATCTTACTCTAATAGTCTTTATATTCAAAGGAACGAATTAACCAAATAAAACAATAATATTTTACATTAAATAATTTATTATCTTAAATATCTAGCCAAGCGTAATCTAAAAGCAAATTAATATAATTTACACCCTAGCATATTTCATACAAACTAAAATATACAATGATGTTATATATTAAAGAGTATTTTCGAGTTTATGATAGCTCAAAGCTGCCCCCTTGCTTACCCATGCCTAAACTTGGACAAACGCCTACGCATTTCCTAGTCACTTTCCTTTTACATCAACCTCCAAAAACTAAACAACTAGAAAACGCGTTCAATCCAATTCCATTTTTTTCGATTTTAACACGCACAACCCTATACTGTACTATTAAAAAAATTAATGATAAAAAAGAATCAGTTAAAACCCATTTTTCTAAAAAACCAAAAAGGAAAAAAATAAAACTTACTAACTAGAAATGATTATGTGCTTACATACTGTCCGTAAATATATAAATCTAATTTTGTTATTCAAACGAGAAATTCTAGATGTTGAATTAAGATTCGAAAATATTTTGAACGTTAAAATACAATGAACGAATTGACACAGTGTACATTACTCTAAACATCTAAAACAGTTATTTTTTAGGTATTTTTTTATGCGGTATTGCACGTAAAATACATGGAGGTCTCAGAAGTCAAAAAAAGACTATTTTTCTAACACATTATTAAAAAAAAATTTCACTGATTGCAATTTGAATCCTCCTTGTATTCTGTGATATTTTCGAGTATTTTCGTCAAATCGCTGATAACGAAATAAGAAGATGCGCAACCTTATGGGCGATTTCGAGACACAAAAAAATTACATGTCCGACAGCTGGCGTTACTGTCGCCGCTAGTCAACCTGTCAGATATTTAGTTTAGCTCTGCGCCGAGTCGTTTACAATCGCGCTGATAGTTGTTTACAGCGCAGCGAATAGAGAAAACTGTACCGTAGTTCTGCTTTCAGTCGACAGAGGGTGGTTGCCGGACACAGTGATGCCAGAACTACTGATTAATCCGTAGATTTACGGATTTTGGATACAGTACGTTAATAATACGGATTTTCTATCGTTAAACAATTTAATATATTATATGATTAAATGTTGTCTTGGAAATGAAGATTGCTGTTATTTCGTATGTAAAATATTATGGTAAATGTCAATAATCGTTATTTCCGAGCCAACTAAACGACTTTTTCGATCATACGAAATATTCAGTACCTATAAAAAGAATTTTTATTTTTGTTGTTTATTCTATGTTTAACACAAATACATTTTCAATACATAAAAGCGGATTTTTCAGCAAACGTATTACAGATAATACACATTTTAATATGGCAACACTGTCGCTTTTAGTTCCACACCGTCTTCGATATGCCTTCGCTCGCCGAATTAGAGAAAATGAGTCTTTTATGCGTTGGCCGCAGAATGAGTAGAGGCTCCGCCATACAGCACTTGAGACGTAAGGGAGAAATCAAATCAAATTTGTCACGAATTTGCCCATTAGGTTGCGTATCTTCCCTGTTCTACCAAGCAACGGTCATATTATATATAAAATTAAACTATCGAAAATCTCTCGTATTGTACTAACAACAATTGTAAAATTTAAAGAATGGAAGAAGTCGGAAACTACGGAGGTAGTTACTCGATCAAGGAGATATTAATGTAGTTGAGAAGATGGTCGCCCGCTACGACTTTTTGGTTGTAGTGCGGTAGTTCAATCGTAGCCGGAATGTCGGAGTAGTTGTAGCGGTTGTTGGCGGACTCTAGTTTCTTGGACATGGACCCGTCCATCATTTTGAAACTGTCTTCGGACATTGTCACTACATCCTTCAACATATTCCTGAAATAAATAAATAACTTTTAGATCAATTTTTATAGATAAAAATGATTAAAATAGTTGAATATTCTGATTTTACTCCTTTGGCGGGCAATTAATTTCAGAAATTCGAATATTTATCATCACTAGCGTCAAAATAGACCAAAATTTAAATAACATGATTAATTTTTTAAGATACACTCAGATGCAAAAAAACGCAACGGAAAGTTTTTTCGTGAAGTTAAAAGTGTTATTTTATTAACTTTTAGTCCTATTTTCATGAATTTATTTAGCAAACTGTATATAAATCTATTACCTTTAATTCATAAACTCGGTTTTTAACTTTAGTATCTACTTGGCTTATTATACAGGGTTGTTTTTTACCTTAACTTTACACACCCTGTGCAATATTTTCGTTGAGTAACTTTTCCTAAAACTAAAAAAAGAATATTCCCTAATAATTATATTATTATTTTTTGATCCGAACCATGTCTCTAGAGCATTTTGTTTTTTGACTCATGTTGACACATGTCTTGGTTAATTTTTAAGAGCGAAATGAACTTGCCACCAACAATTTGTAATTTTTTCAACTATCATTGTTTTATAATGTTATTTTTTAATATCACGAGGTGGCACATCAAAATCAAATTTCTCATGTCAAAAAACTCCCAGACACCAACTTTCATCCAAATATTGATGTTACTTCATAAATTATTTGGAAAAAATCGAAATAAAAATGAGACTTCTACACCCTGTATCTCCGAAACTAAGCATTTTACGACATACATTTATATGAACTTTTTTACTTATTTTTACCTGCAGAATATGCTACCCAAGTTTCCGGAATACAGTTCGGACCACCCTGTATATTGTGTTATGTTTTCCCATTCTTCTTCAAGGACCAAGCGAATATTCATAGCTTCAGCCATCTTGAAACAAGAAAATCTTCAACAAGATCAAAAACTTTCGCACAATCTTTGACACTAAGAACCATATTCAATTGTACACAACAATAATCACCAAAGGCACCTCGTCATTACGAAGAATCAAGAAGTAACGATAATTGAAAAAATTGCGAAATATTTGTGGCAAGTTCATTTTGCTCTTAAAAATTAACCAAGGCATGTGTTGACATCAATTAAAAAACTAAATATTCAGAAGATAATCTGTATGATAAGTCAAATATTAAAAAATCAAGGAAATAGAGCCAAAAATAAAAAAAATATAACATTTCAAACTAGAGCAAAAAATTTTCTGTTGCGTTTTTTTTTCATTTTTTTCATTTCAAAAAATACAATTAAAGAAGAAAAATATTCAATAGACAGATATGACAACGATATGCGGTATTAACGGAGGCGTTATTTTGGCAACTATGACAGTTAAAGTGTCATAATAAGCGTTTGTGCGCTAGGAACGTTACCGCATGCCGGTATTTAGACGAAGAAGACGCGCGCCGTGCGGTAATTTGACAGTTTCGGAACGTTATTTTGTCAATTGATATACTGTATTTTTTATAAAAATACTCCTCATATATATTTAATAGCTATTTTTTTTTATAAAAATAAAGAAAAATTATGAATATAGATGCTCTTTTTAATTGGCAAAATCAGAAAACAAGGTTAAGGCTAAATTTTTAAAAATGTTGGCATAATAGTCAAAATCAATCAACGCTATTTTGTGTTGCCATAGTTCATCTCAAGTTTGAACTCAAAGTTTGACAAACGTAAATGTCAAAATAACGTCAGCGCTAATAGCGGAAGTATTGGACTTTGCCATATCTCTCTAATATTTCCTTACCATACGCTCTCGCTGGCGATGTAATGAACTTTCGGAATAGGAAACCCGTTGAAGGGACTGGCCACCGGCAATGTATACGCCCCCATATCCTCAAACACTATCCAATCTCCAATGTTCATTTCCGGCAGCACCACGTCCTCTATCACCTGATCGAGACCGTCACAGGTGGGGCCCCAGATGCTGCTCGAGTACTTCTTGGTGCCGACGTAGTCGCGCAGCGGTTGCGGCTTGACTACCTGGTGATCGTACAGGATGCAGTTGAAGCTGCCGTAGACGCCGTCGTTGATGTAGTACATCTTGTGCATTTTGCGCGACCCGTCTTCCCGGTTGCCTACGTTCCGGATGGAGTGGATGTTGCAGGTCAGTGTGTAGGCGGAGGTGACGTAGAAGCGGCCCGGTTCGGCGATGATTTGGATGGAGGGGTCGGGGAAGAAGATGTCTAGTGCGTCGTTGACTACGTTAGCGATCTGAAAAGAAAGCATTGAATTTAGTAATAGTCTAGTAAATAAGGACACGAAAAGGTCCAAATGTCGGCGTAAAGCTTGATTTTCATGCGTCCGTTATCCGTTGATACGATGGTCCGACGGCGCTCTGATTGGTCATAGCGTTTTAGCGCCACTTCTCATCCATAAATTTTTTACTCCAGACCGTCAATCGAGAAAGATCGTACGATAACGAAAGTTTTGACACTTTTTTGATAAATTTAATCTAACCTTAATAAAAATATAATAGTACAAGAGCTAGCAATCTCGGGCAAACAAGAATTTTAAGAAAGCTGGAGCTCGATTCTGTAAACATATTTCTTGTCTAGTGGCTGACTCATCAATCCTATGCAAATAGCATAGGCTAGACAGGAATTTTTTTGCTACGGAGCTTACACAATCCCACTGCTGGTTCTTTAATATATCTTTTACTATGGTCTCCTGACCAAAGTGCGGCTCGTCTGGCTGCCGGTAATTACTGCGGTTCACTACTGCGCATCATATCAGTACAGGGTATCCCATTTTCGTGTGTTTTATGGGATTTCTCGTTTATGAGTTGAGATACAATGATGCTATTTTCACATTACTTTGCTACTTTTTTATGAAACTAAATATGCTACACATGTTTGTTCTAGCCTCCTTAGTTCCTGAAATACAAGGAGAATTTGTGATGCGCAGTAGTGAACAGATGTTGAATACAGATATAATGCGCTGTAGTGAAAGCAACGTCTACTTGCAGCCAGACGGTCCGTACTCTGTTCAGGAGAGCATAACAAAAGATATTTTAAAGAACCAGCTTTCTTAAAATTCTCTCTCGAAAACGTTGCTAGCTCTTAGACTATAAGTAGAACAACGAAATCGTTATGGAAACCAGAATATAAAATGACACCAATTACAAGAATGTACGATATTCGATGAACGGAGGCATGTAAATGCAATAAATTTAAAAACTGCGTAATTTTCTAACCAATCGAAGTCTTTAAATTCAACCAATAAAATCAATATTGTATTGTCTGATAACGGATGTATGAAAATCAAGCTTTATCCCAAAAACGTTGTTTCGAGATAATAAGCAAAAACTGTAAGACTAAAGACTAAGACTAAGGAAGGAGCATATCAAAAATCTTAGGTACACCGCGATAGGCCTCAAATATGGCCGACTTAAATTCCGGTTTATCAGTGCCGTTCTAATTCTATTTAAAAAATGTAAAACTATGATGTAGGGTAGACGTGGGGTAGACTCAATAATGTGTTATTTTATTTTACGTTGTGAATAAATGTTGGTAGTTATTAAAATTGTTATAAAAATATATAATTCTAATAAAAATAAATAAGTATTTATTAATACAAACATCCGATACGCTACTGAAGCAGGTAAGTCAAATTAACGTATCAAAATTCTTTGACATCTGATCTTTGACAAGTAGTAAATAAAAGCTAAAATGCAAGAAAATATATAATTTACTTAATTTAAGTGAATTTCATAAATGATCAGTTTACTACACGTATGTATATTATATAGTCACTTACTAGCGAAAAGTTTTTCCATTATTTCACTCAATTTTTGCCGAGATCTACCGCACGCTACACAACCAACTATTTTAGAGTCTTTTTCGATAAATCGCGATAATGTCACTGTTAATTTAAGTTCTGCCAGAATTTCCATCTAGATTTACTACCTTTATATAACTATCAGTAGTAGAATAAATAATAAATAACATAAAATAAGCTCCGTAAAGACTGACAAATCCACAAAATTTCAAATCAAATTCAAATGTGTCAAATGAATCGTCAAACAGAACTGTCAAGGATCCCCACCCTAGAGAGCTTTTTCCGCCCACCATGCATGAATACATGGATAGCATTATGCTCCTTCCTTAGTCTACTTATTCAAAGACTGCAACAAAACCCACCTTATCCGAATTATTTTTATGTTTTTTTTTCTCTTTAAAGATTAAATATTAATTTTTATTTCTACAAAAACCAGATACAAAACAATGATTCCACTTAACGGGTACGATTTTTGTGTGCGTTTTGTTTTGCGGATTTTGTTACAGCAAGATATTTGCATCCTAACTTGAAATTATTAGGCATGCTATGCTATTTTATTAAAATTAAGTAAGCATTTGAAATGGATAACACGTCAGTAGTAATACTATATTGTGTAAAAAGCCTATGACAAAATGCAGGATTTGCAAAAACGACAATAAAAAGCAAATATATGTAAGTGGATAAATGGGATTTTGCTGCAGTAATGTAATTTGTAGTGAATTTTATATTGAAATAGGTGACTTTTGCTGCTATGGGACTATGTTTATGTAGATTGTAGCATCTACGATTAATGTATATCATTAGGCCATTTCTTTTTAAATGGATAAGGCGGGTTTTCCAACTTAACGCCTCATTTATAATTAATTTATTTTTGTTTACTAAAATGTTTTGATTAAAAGAAAATATATAAAAGTATGTAAAAGTAATCACACGACTGACGTGAACATCCTACATTGTTCAGATAATAATTATTGTATAAAAAAGTTACCTCGTCAATGGACGATCCTCTAACTCCGGGATATCCGCCGCCTATGTCCAACAGGGTGAAACAATAACCGAGATTATCCGCGTAGTTGAACAGATCTTTGCAGAAGGAGATAGCCCTGTGGAAGACGGTAGCCTCGCGGCAACCCGAGCCCACGTGGAAGCTCACGCCCACCACGTTCAGGTTGAGAGACTTGGCGATGTCCAGCAGGTAAGGGGCGTCCTTGACGGGGTCGCAGCCGAATTTCATGCCGAGGGGGCACTGGGCGTCGACAGCGTCGCACCGGATACGGATAACCAATCTAAAATGGAAATAAATTATATACCGTATGTTACATTTTGTTGGCCCGAACGTAGGAAACCCTATGTAAATTTTAAAAACGATAACAAATATTCATTCGTTTTTTAAATATGTCAATATTTTTTATTTCGTTTTGTTTTGTGAATATTCAGTGTGTGATTTTGGCAATTTCCTTATTAATTACTGCTGTACTTGTACTTATTTTGCCAAGTACATTTTATTTTAATTATTCATATTCAATTGCAATGGTTTTTTTGAGAACGCAAACCTGGGCAGAACTGTACCGTTCCTAATTGCGACAACAAAAATGGCAGCTTTTATGGCATTTTCCAAATCCCCGGAAAGATTCGAATTGTATTGTACATTTTTTTTTCAGTTTATAGGTATGTAAAATACATAATTTATAATAACATCAATAATTGTTTTATTTTTATAAACGGTCGATCGGGTATTGATATAATTTTTTTTTATTGTGACAAAATAGGTACAAAGTAAACGCCACGAATGTTTGGGAGTAAAGCTTGATTTTCATGCATCCGTTATCCGACGATACGTTGATATGATATTAATTTTATTGGTTAAATTTAAAGACTTTGATTGGTTAGAAACGGTTAACCAATCGAAGCCTTTAAATTCAACCAATAAAATTAATATCGTATCATCGTATCGTCGGACAACGGATGCATGAAAATCAAGCTTAATTCATCGCTTGATGAAATTAGAATCGACACGCGCGCCATCATTTTTACATTAAAAACGTAAATTTTTACCGCCGACGTAGGTTTTTAAAGGCCCGGTTTAATCATCTGCCTGCGCTCCTCCTACTTATTCTAAAAAGTTAGCGTGATTGACAAAGACGATACTATACCGCGTTTCTTTGATTGATTCGTTTTTGTGCGTCAGTCCATTGGTGTGGTTGCAGTGCGACCAATGGGGCATTCCAGTTTATATTTATAACCAAATATATGTTTTGACAAGACTGACAGTTAAAACAACAAATTATAACAGATTATATATTGATTATTATATGACTTGAAACACGACGGCACTGGAATTAAGTTTTATATGGCCTTGAGCAGATTAGTTCACATGGTAGCGACCGATGAATCACTCCCAAACATTCGTGGCGTTTACTATATCAAAAAATTAAATTATATGTTATACAGGGTTCGGCAATAGTGCGTCGGGCATCTGTAGCTCCTAGAATAAAAAACTGGAGAATTTTGTTTAGGTACAAACTTAAATTATGTACCAGAATGTATTTCAGGAAAATATTTTAACTTCTATAGGGTGGCTCAAAAAAGTGTGAGTGGACCTGGATAATTTTTTTTAAATGGAACACCCTGTATATTATTGCATTTTTGGCTTCCGTTCAGATCACTTTACATAACCCTAAGATATGAATAAATATATTTCGATTAGTTTCAGAGATATTAAAAAATAAATCAAAAATATATATTTTTCAGCACTTCCTAAAAAAATTATTAAAAATACAGGAACTGTTCTGAAATCAAAACTATATTAGGTATTTACTTTAGATGGTCTGTTCTTACTTTGCTATAAATATGGTAATCGTAAATCATACAGGATGTTCAATATTCTACGCCAAACTTTCTAAAATATAAAATATTTTTTGTTTGTTTTTTAAATGGAACACCCTGTATATTATTTTTTTATTAGATGGAGAGTTAAAAAATGAACATTTTTTGTATTTAGAGCAAAATTTTTAACGGTTTTGCAGATACACGCAGTATTATTTCATATGGCGCTTTCAATGGTAAAATACGAGAGAAAAATCATTGGGTGGCTTTGATAAAAATTTACTGTGGAAAATGCCATATGAAATATAAAACCGCAAATATCTGCGAAACCGTTAAAAATTTTGAAATACTCTAAATACAAAAAATGGTTATTTTTTAATTCTCCGTCTATTGAAAAAATAATATACAGGGTGTTCCATTTAAAAAAACGAAGAAAAATTATTTTATAATTTAGAAAGTTTGGCGTAGAATTTTGAACATCCTGTATGATTTACGATTTTCATATTTATAGCAAAGTAAGTACAGACCATCTAAAGTAAATACTTAATATAGTTTTGATTTCAAAACAGTTCTTGTATTTTTCATATTTTTTTTAAGAAGGGTTGAAAAATATATATTTTTGATTTATTTTTTAGTATCTCTGAAACTATCGAAATATATTTATTCATATCTTAGGGTTATGTAAAGTGATCTGAACGGAAGCCAAAAATGCAATAATATACAGGGTGTTCCATTTAAAAAAAATTATCCAGGTCCACTCACACTTTTTTGAGCCACCCTATAAGAGTTAAAATATTTTCCTGAAATACATCCTGGTACATACTTTAGGTCTGCACTTAAACAAAATTCTCAAGTTTTTTATTCTTGGAGCTACAGATGCCCGACGGACTATTGCCGGACCCTGTATATAAATTACAATTTTTTATTGTAACTTTAATATACCTATCTCGGTACAATTAAAAAAATGTTTCTGTAATATTAAAAAAAAATAAATTAAATATAGCAATCAATATTTCATGAATTTAGTGCGCGAACAAACTCAAGGGGGCGCATCTCTTACTTTCATTTCATAACATATAAGTCAAAATTGGGGGGGAATGTTCTGTGGGACAATTTAACGTATGTTGGTATTTTCCTGGTTTTGAATTGCTACCTGTTCAGGTTTTAATTTAAAAATAGATACAATTTTTCTTAAATTAGTTAAGATCTGCTTGTCCAAAATTGTTCAAATTTGGCTCGTATATTTAGCCTAGGCAGACCTTTGAGGTTCTGAATGAAGCTTAATACTGTGAAAAATTTAATAAAGAACTAATTTTCCTTAAGAGAATGTTCATTTTATATAATTTCGCATCAAACTAATGAAATAGAGCAGTAGTTTCTAACAAACCTACCTAGCGTTAGGGTAGAGATTCTGGATCTTGTATAGTTCGCTCTCGTTATCGAACGTCATCGTGGCCACGCCCACGGAAGCAGCGTAACGCACGTGACTGGCCGGTTTGGCCGGATTGGCGAAAATGATGCGGTCGGTGGACACGCCCACGGACAGAACTTTGGCGATCTCCACTTTGGAGGCGCAGTCGAAAGATGTACCAAGGGCGGCCAGTACTTCCAAAACGGTGATGTTGTCGTTGCATTTCACAGCTATAAGATACAAGAACTTTTATTACTTATTTTTAAAATATATATAATAAAACAGAAGTTGTTATAGCGGGTGTTAACATACAGGGTGTCCCAGGCTGAGCGTGCCTTAGAAGTTTCTAGAGAACTACAATAGCTAGATCGGATTTTTTTCGATTAAAAAATGCACAGATCTATCGATTAAAAATATTTTCAATATGGCGGCGCTTCCGGAAATACCGGAAGTTGGCAACCACTTTCTTATTTTAAATGGGTACGCCTATGTTTTATTACATACTTAAATTCTCCGTAACATTTTATGAATTTTGCTATCAAACATTCGATACCTAACTTTAACCGTTTTTGACAAAAAATATTTAACATTTTTGGTGGAAAAAAACCTCCTGTCAAAAAAATGTGCATCTCGCCTAAACGTCAAATTTAGTGATTACCATAGTAGATCTATAAGTATTAGAGATATTGACATCTAAATTAAATTTCTCATATTATAAAACTCCCAGACGCCAATTTTCATCCAAATATTGACGTTACTTCAGAAATTATTTGGAAAAAATCGAAATAAAAATGAAACGTCTACACCCTGTATCTCCGAAACTAAGCATTTTAAGACATACATTTATACGAACTTTTTTACTTATTTTTATCTGCAGAATATGCTGTAGATAACCTAATTTTAAAAAACTTTCTCGAAATAATTTTATAGGTACATTAATTTTCAAGAAAACAAAGAATCAAAGTAACTTAAATATTCATAAAAATAAAGGTTTATACAAAAATTATTGTAATACAAAGCCGAGCAAATCTTGTAATAAAGTACGTAGATACCGGAAAGAATTTAATTTTAAACCGAGTATTTGACAAATAACGATGACGTAGCGTTGAACAATCGCTGATCAGGCAGTACCAATTTTGCCTAATAAAGTTATTTGCTACATATTGCTTACCGTAATGAGGTTCGACTCTGGGCATGCGGGATTCCCAGATGCGATGCTTCTGAACGATCTCGTCCAGGTGACAGACGTAGAAGGCCTCTTCCTGGTTCACGTCCTGGGCGATCTCCCGGATGACGCTCTTCACGTCTACGTTCGAGTTGAGTATGCGCACTGGTTCGTCGATATTTTCGATTTTCATGATGACTGATGAGGTCGGTTCGTTTGTTTTCTTTTTAGGGTCTTATAGGGATACGGTTGTTAAATGCGAAATAAATGATTGACAAAGTAAGCAAGCTGAAACAAGAAAACATTGTTGATTTATTACATTAACTATAATTTTTATAACAGCTCTTAACTATAACTTATATATCAGCTCTTAAGGAACTATATAAGGACGCAAAATCAAAAATAAAGGTAGGAAAAGAGCTTACAGAAACATTTATAACCGATAAAGGCTTGCGTCAAGGTTGTTGTATCTCCCCTACTCTCTTTAAAATATAGGTTGCAGTCGCTTTAAAAAATTGGAAAAGAAAGATCCGTGGTATGGGCATAGAGATTGACAATGAATGTTTTTTCACACTTCAATTCGCAGACGATCAAATAATAGTCGCCAATGACAAAGATGATATACAATATATGCCTAGAAAACTTATTGAAGAATACGGAGAATGGGGCTTGACAGTTAACATAGCCAAAACAAAATATCTATGTATAGGCGCACAAGAAGGAAATTTGAACTTGGACAACGGTCACGAAATTATTCAGTTTCAAGTGTATGAATACCTGGGAGTTAATTTGATAACACTGGAACTGACGGCAGAGAAATAAAGAAAAGGATTATCAACGCGAAAAAAATCGTATGTCTAAATGGAATCTTATGGAGCAAATCAATAACAAAGCGAAGAAAATTCAATATATATGAAACCATGATAAAGAGCAACCTCCTGTATGGAGCAGAAACATGGAGAATAATGAGAGATACAAGAAGAGGATAGAGGCCGTAGATATGGATGTCATTCGAAGATTAATGGGAATTTCAAGACAACAACGAATAAGAAATAATGGCATAAAACAACAAATGGGTATAGAAGGTACGATAACACAGGATATAGAGAAAAAGCAGCTGATCTGGTACGGACATGTAGAGCTAATGAAGGATACTAGATGGCCCAAGAAAATAATCAATTGGCAACCAAAGGGCAGAAGAAAACAGGGAAGACCGAAACTGGAATGGCAAAAAAGCGTACACAAAGCGATGAGTGAAAGAAACCTGTCAACAGAGGATTGTACGAATAGAACAGGCTGGAAATTGGGTATCGGACAACGTAGAAAAACGTTCTAAACCGACTATTATTATATACTATAATTTTTAATTACTATTGAAGTAAAGTCAATATTTGGATGAAAATTGGTATCTGGGAGTTTTTTGACACGAGAAATTTGATTTTGATGTTAATATGACTCCTACTTGAAGAGGGCGCCACCTACATATTATTTAACTGCTTTGAAGACTATTAACTTTTCGTCCGTACCTGTATAAAACTACTGAGAAAAAATATACATTTACGACGTTTTTTACGTAAAAAATGTCTCTTAGTAAAATCGCTATGAGTAATTCGTTCTCGAGATATTTTTTATTCTGTAGTTTTATACAGGTACGGACAAAAAGTTATTACTCTTCAAACCAGTTAAAAAATATGTAGGTGGCGCCCTCTACAAGTAAGAATCATATTGACATCAAAATCAAACCTTTCTCATGTCAAAAAACTCCCAGATACCTATTTTCATCTAAATATTGGCGTTACTTCAGGAAATTATTTGAAGAAAATCGAAATAAATATGAAACTTCTACACCCTGTATTACCGAAACTAAGCATTTTAGGACATACACTTATACGAACTTTTTTACTTATTTTTATCTGCAGAATGTGCTGCCAAAGTTTCCGGAATATAGTTCGGACCACTCTATATACATATTATGTAAATTATGTATTAAAAGTAGATGATCGGTGACACGTTGTCTCATGGTGTGCAATGTATTTTTTGACTTTTGGAATATGAAGTGACTGAGATAACACAAAACAATGAATACAATACAATTAGATAAGGATTGGTTGAAATGAACTAGAACAAAGTGAATATCAAAGCAAACATTCTTTAATTTAAAAATATGGTTACTTCTTTAGAATCAGCTGTTAAAACTGTTTAAATATATATTAATTAGATCTAAGTGGATAAAAATATGGGTCCAAGAAAGACAAAAATATAGGCACATGTCCTCATTTCGTGAACTTAAAAAAAATCAGAAATTTTAAAAATTATCTGCAAATGAGTACTTCAAATTCTTCTAAAACAGTTTACAAGCTCTTGATAAGCTTGCATTTTTAAGTTTTTGTTTAAGTAACTTTTATCTCTTATTTTTTATAAACGAGGTATTTGTCGATACATTTCAATTAATTTAACCAAAGTTTATTTTGCTTACTCTATATTTAATAACACGTAATTAATAAAAAAAATTAAAAACACGTAGGCAAAGGATCTCATCCCACAGCGCACACTAACATGCAGATATTTAAAACGATCCATCACGTCGCGTCGATACAAAATCTTTAAAAAATCTAACATTTAAGCGGCCTCTACCATTATAGAGCACTAACGTGAGGGTAAATAGGAGGGACTGATCGGTGAGTAGCCGGCTATTACATGACGTGAGGGTTTGGCAGTTTAAAACACTGTTGTGCTCTAAGTCTAAAGAGTGTTGGAAAATCTTGTGAGGCGCAGAGCTTGTTCACACCGATTTGAAGCCCAATGAGGCCGAATACCTCGTGAGTTATAAACAAGTATCTACTACAACAAAAATAGAAGACAACATGAAAAATTATTGAGACTATCAACGTTCTATGGAAGCGAAACCTGGGTTTCGTACCGTCGACAAGTTGCCACAGAGACACCTTAGACAACTCTTAAGAATCAAATGGTTCCACCATGTCTCAAAAATCCTTCGGTCCTTGAAAAAGCTAGCTGCGAAAGCGCCGAAGTCACGATTACTAAATCCCGCTTAAGATGGGCTGGTCACGTGTGCAGGAGGCAAGAAATCCGCCTACCAAAATCTCTTCTTCATGGTGAGCTTGTAGACGGATAACTTAAAAGATTCAAGGATATTTTCCACGAAAATTTGAAGGGGATAAACATGGAGAATCAGTGGGAGGAAGCAGCGCACAATAAAACGCAATGAAGAAAAAAGTAAAAAGGCAACAAATTAATGGTCTAATGAGATTTTTGAATGTCCGGAGCGCACGTATCGGGATTTTCAGTCACAGAAAGGCTCATGAAAGGACACGCCTTGCCGTAACCATCCTCTGATGCGTGTTAAATACTCGTCAGCGAGTAATGGCAGTAAGTAAGTAAGTAAAAAGTGAGGTTAGAAGTTAGAATTGTAGGTGATGGTATTAAAGGATGTTTTATATTTATTTTTTTTTAATTTCTCTTCAGTTCATCCCAAATTGAAATGAGAAATGAGGTAAAAAATACAGTTTATGTGCTCCAAATATTCACTGTAAAGTGTATATATTTATTACAATTATTCATAATAAAACGAAAAGAGAGTAATAGATACTTACGAGGCAGCCTGTGCTCAGATTTAAGCAGTTTGTGTGTGGGTTAAGGAAATTTAGAGGTTAGTTGTCAGGGGTGCTAGCAGCAGCGGTTCCAAGGCGGTTCTCCGTTCAGGAAAATTTTGTAGTTGTAGGGAAGGAGACAATTGCCAGTCACAGGGCAAGCTTTCTCTGCGTCACCACCCTGAAAACAAGAAACAAAATAATTACAGATACAGAAACACACAATATTTACACTATTTTTCAAGCATCGATGCTGGTATAGTATTGTCAATTGGAAGTACTGAGACTCTTAATTCCTTTGTCCCCACGATGGCGACAAAGACAGTGCCGAAATTAAGAATCCCAATCTATTCCAACTGACCTCAGATAAACTATATACCGTAATTGGTGTTAACGATTAAACTGAAGGCTATTCTTACTCACTCATATACAGGGTGAGCCTTAAATAAGTGCAAATATTTTCAAGGCTGGTAGATCTCGATAAATGAATCGTATTTTCTCTTTCGTTTTTCAAATAAGTTCAAATAACTGAGTTACTTTACTTTGAAAATTTCCAAAAAAAAATATTTTTTTGCTTAAATTTTTAGAACCACTGGATCTTTTCTGGGTTTTCTTTCTTTTAAGTTTAATCTACTACCTATGTTGTTATATTATCGTTTTCTGGGGTCAAAATATACTATCCCTAAAAATATTTGCACTTACTTAACATTTACCCTGTATTACTCCTAGTGAATTTTGACATATTGGATTGCCGATGCTGTTCAACGTTGCCAGTTTTAATTACAATTTGAATTCATATTTATTAATTTAAGATAATAGACTATTTAATGTAAGAAAAAACGCTAAATTATTAAGTCTGGTCTTGTTAACATATCATTAAGACAAAGATAAATTATAAAAGAACTATAAAAAGTTGTAAAAGCTTATTTCTTCATATGCTTTACCACAATTACCAGAAGCTAGAAATAGAAATGACTTTTGTCAAAAGTCGACTTTCCAACAAAATATAGACATGAAATATAGAAAACTGATCCATGGAAAATATACATTGCAAAATATTGTAGATGATTTTGAAATAAATTTCTAGGAAATCAAACGATAAGTCATGGGTTTTCTCGTGCTAATTATAATAATTGATTGATTATTTATTTGGATTAACAAATATGATCTTTTGCAATATAAATCTGATAAAATTTTCAAAATATTTATCACACGCTTGATCTGAAAGAAGGTTATTTGAGGTTAATATTCCACAAACATCTGAAAAAATGTATTTCTTATCATTGTGTATACTTGGTCTCATAAGTCTTATAATTATATATCATATGTAACATGTCTTCAAATTCCGCTTGGTTCAGCGTGGGTTTGTCAGAAACTTGTCAATATCTTTTGACAAGTTTCTGACAGTTTCTTTACTTGAGTTCTTCTATGATTTTTTTGTAGATTTCTTCTTCTAACATCTAAAAAGTAAAGATTTCAGTTAACGTCTCCTTCTTGCTGCCAGGGCTAATCTGGACAGGGCCTACTTTGTTTACGCGGAATCCGAACCGCGGTCCTCGGCCATATCATGGTCAATGGCCTATCGACTTGGCAAGTGTCTAAATCGACTCTTACTCACGAGATATCCGATCTCATCCGGCGTGAATGAGCAGTGTGTGTCAATAGATTTTACACTTTTGCCTTTTTTGGACAATAGCACGAAACAGAGTTTCGAACCGGTCACCCGTCCATCCACTAGTATCGCCTTACGTCGCTTAACTTCGGTGTTCTAATGGGACCGGTGTTTCGACGTAGCCTGGGCCGTTGCCCTCATCTAACATCTCTTTGAAAAGCTTTTAAATAATATTCATTGAGTAGTACCTCAATTGGATTTTATGGAGTGTCCAATCTCATTTTCTCTTCATTTCATTCTATTCTACAGGGTGAGTCTTAAATAAGTGGAAATATTTTTAGGGGAAGTATATTTTTTTCGGGGGGTAGTTTCTTTCGCAAATAAAAAAAATAAAATTTGGATTTTTTTAAATATCTTCATAATATGGCACCATAGGTAGTAGATTAAATTTGTAAGAAAGAAAACCCAGAAAAGAACCAGCGGTTCTATAAATTTAAGTGAAAAAATAACTTTTTTGAAATTTTCAAAGTAAAATATCTCGGTTATTTTGGACTTTTTTGAAAAACGGTAAAGAGGAATTATGGTTTTTTATCGAGGTCTACCAGCCGTGAAAATATTTGCACTTACTTAAGACTCATCTTGTATAATATATAAATTCCACCATCAGTATGATTTATTGTAACTAAAATTTAAGACTTGGAAGTAATACAATAATTGCCAAACTATTTTTTTAACTTGATTATAGAAATAAGAAATTATAGAGAGATATGTCCATCAAGAGCTAAAGATTTATTGAAATTTCAACGTTAGATTTCTTGTAACAAAAATTCTTTCTACACCTGTGTATACATTTCCATCGAATTTTTTAATGTCTATTTAATATATGCGAAACTCGTTCTTCTCTGTACTTATCGATTTTTTTAATTTTTATTACTGACATGAAGTTAATCTTTATTTTATAATAGATAAGGAAATATAATGCTACACAGGTTATTATTTCAAAAATTCTAAATTAATAAGTTTAAATTTTTTGAGAATGTTCAATGTAAACTAATTTTTGTTTAGGAACATATTTACTAGATTCAAATATACCATAAAGATGACACAATACATATTATAAATAATGATATAAAGATAATCCAGTAGGGTTACTCTTTAACAATATACAGGGTGGTACTGTATTCCGGAAACTTCGACAGCAAATTCTGCACATAAAAAAAAACATTTTTATTTCGATTTTTTAAACTACCGAGTAAAAAATATACATTTGCGACGTTTTTTACGTAAAAAAGGTCTCTTGGTAAAAATTGCTACGAGTATTGGTTCTCGAGATATTTAGAACCGCAATTATCAATACCTGTCATCATTGACAGAATAAATAGTTATTAGAGACTGAAATAATAAATTTCAAATGTTTTTGTGCCAAAAGTTCAACAGAAACTGTTTTATCATCATCTTTTCAAAGGAAAGTTCATGATTAATTTAAAAAAATAATGTTCCCAAGTTTATTATTTGAGTCAAATAACTATCTACTCAACATGTTTACTTTTTGGCAATAATGACATGTATTGACTATTTCAAATCAGCCTCAAGTCCTAAGAAATACATTAAAACAAAATTCCTCATGTCAGAAAACTCCCAGGCAGCAATTTTCATCAAAATATTTACGTTACTTCAGAAATTATTTGGAAAAACTCGAAATAAAAATAAAATTTCTACACCCTGTATCTCCGAAACTAAGCATTTTACGACAAACATTTATACAAACTTTTTTACTTATTTTTATCTGCAGAATATGCTGCCAAAGTTTCCGGAATACAGTTTGGACCACCCTGTATATTAAAATTAAGTAATCCCAATAGCACTAACTTTCACACTTGTTTCATTTTATCAAACATTTTGTGAAATATAACTAGAAACAGAATACACACTTCCACAAACAGCCCTCCAAAAAACGTACTGCAAACAACTACTATATCTTTGAAAAATTAAAAGTATGGTACCATTCAATTTTTCACACGAGGACTAACAAAAGGATGAAGCGGTCGTACCTTAAATTTAATAGAGGCCGGGTGAATTTCCTCTTGACATAAGCACATGAAAATACAGATCTATTCGATTTGAACCACCGGCTGCTCGGGAACAACCAGCAAAGTACCCGCCTGGACTAGTCGTTCTGAAACGAGTGAGGACCGACGAACCCTACGACTGTTTCAACTCGAAGTGAACGATGGCGGGTACCGGTACCGCCTTTTAAACGCGCCCGCTATCAGCGTTATCAATCGCGATGAGCCGAGGCTTGTCGAGCGGCGCGATAAGACATGAGACGTCGCGAGAATCACAAGATTTACCCCACCGAGCACTATGTCTGTGTTTTCTATGATTTCGAGAAATATCCAAAGGTTAATCACCTGATCGCTTAATTGCTATAGAGCTGTTTCCGCTAGTATCATAATCAGAAATCCAATAATAACTTATTATTGAACGTATTTATAATAACATTAGTACATAATAGACATGTATAGCGTTTACACACCTGGATACAGCCACTAGGGAATGAATGGGGACTCTTAAGAAGGCTAGAAGACCTTGATTAAGCAGACGATCTATGTGTCTTTTCCCATTCACATTCGGATATGTCTCAAAAACTTCTTAGACTCCAAGAGGAAGCTAAAAAAATCGGTCTTCCAATGAGGTCAAACACTCTCAACAACCAAGATCTATGCCTCTCTAACCGAGCCCTCAAAAGAGTTGATGAATTTCAGTATCTGGGAAGTATGATTTGCAGTGATGGAGAAAGATACAGAGGAAATAATCTTGAAGGCACAAAGAGCTTTTGTCATGCTTGCACCTGTGTGGAACTTCACCATATATAGAAAAAAAAAAGTTCAGCTCTTCAACAGCAATGTAAAATCTATTTTGCTTTATGGATGCGAAACATGGAAGGATACAGATGTTTGTTAACAAGTGTGTTCAAAGAATATTGAGAATTTTCTGGCTCAATCAAATTAACAACGAAGAACTGCGGAGAAGAACATCACAAAATCAAATAGATATTGAAATTAAGAAAAGAAAGTGGGGTGGATTGGGCACATTTGAGATATCGCAAGACAGGCACTTGAATGGAATCCACAGGGAAGACGCGTCAGGGGAAGACCAAAAAATACCTGGAGAAGAACAGTAAGCTCTGAAGCCCAAGAGATTGGGAAACATCTTTTGGAAGCCCTATGTCCTACAAAGGGATGGCGGGAACTTAATATATACTACAGCCGTTGGAATATTAAGACCGGTAGTTTCCTTATATAATAATGTCTGTTTTAAGTGTCCAGGTTTCGCATGCATAGGTCATGACAGGTAGTACACATTGGTGGAATGTTTTCTTCTTTAGATAAAGTGACATTCTAGATTTCAATATGATTGAGTTTCTTCTATAAGTACTCCATGCCAACTTAATTCTTCTGTTAATTTCTGGTAGTAGAGATCCCGAGCTGTGTATTAGTTGTCCCAAACATATATATTTTTCTACTATTTCCAGTGTTGTGTCAATTAGGACTACGTCATCAGCGAATCTTAGATGGTTAAGATATTTTCCATCTATTTTTAATCCTTGTAGATGGCATCTATTCCATGGGTCTTTTGCCGTATCCACTGATCCACTCTATTTTTTGCGGTCTTTCCAGTAATATATAGAGACGTATACGGAGTTCTTAAAACGACATCTTTTCTACATCCACCATATCAGTAGTTAGCCTAAATTCATCCCTTGTATTTGTTAAGTAAACAAAATATTTAGGAATCATACTGGACTCGAAGTTTTGGAACCCTGGGAAAGAAACACGGAGGAAAGTTTACGCTAAAAAAGGGGCCAGTCGTATACGAGGGAAAATCGCTGATTGACCAATAGGAGATATCGTTATATACTCTGACAGCTTGGGCGCTTTAAGAAGCATCACCATGCAATCAGTGAGATAGTGGGATCGAAAACTGTGATGGACAAGCACTGTCTGGTTGTGTCAACGCCACAACAATGTGGTGGGCAACCAGGAAGCATCCAGACTCGCAAAAGAGGCGGCCAGAGGAGAAGCCGTGGCATCAACACATTTACTGTCCTCCATTCATGCAGTTGTGCAGCTCTGAACTGTTCAAGAACGCGATACTCTCACTCCATTCAATTGAGTCATAAAGTTCCAGAACTGTTCCGCGCCATATGGAAGCACCAGGCTATCGCGCACAGCTCCTTTCAGAACCGTTCTCAAGTAGCCCAGGGCGTAAAGCTCTGGAACTTGAAATTCGCGAATGGAGGACAGCAATTAAAGGAAGCTATAGGAACTAACATCAAGCCAAGCAGCAAAAGACGTGGCAACACGGTGAGGACTGCGCTACAGTTCGAAGTCTGTGGCCAGAGGTAGATAACAAAAAGACAAAACAACTACTAGAGCACAAAAAGAACCTACTATGCATAATTATTAGTGTAGGTGTCGTTACCGGAAACTGTACCCGGGGGTAAACCTTGTGAGATGAAATATTTCCAACGACGACTACTCGTATATACAGGGTGGTCCGAACTGTATTCCGGAAACTTCGGCAGCGTATTCTGCAGATAAAAATGAGTAGTAAAGTTCGTATAAATGTATGTCCTAAAATGCTTAGTTTCGGAGATACAGGGTGTAGAAGTTTCATTTTTATTTCGATTTTTTTCTAATAATTTCTGAAGTAACGTCAATATTTGAATGAAAATTGGTGTCTGGGAGTTTTTTGACATGAGAAATTTTATTTTGATGTCAATATGATTCCTATTTGTAGGGGGCGCCACCTACATGTGTTTTAACTGTTTTGAAGATTAATAACCTTTCGCTCGTACCTATATTGAACTACTGACTGAAAAAATATACATTTCCATGACTTTTTACGTAAAAAAAGTTTCTTGGTACAAATCGCTAGGAGCAAACGTTCTCAAGATATTTAGAATGGAAATAGTCAATACATGTTATTATTGACAAAAAATAAGCACATGTTGAGTATAGTTATTTGACTGAAATAATAAATTTTTATTTTTTTAAGTTAATCATAATTTTTTCTGTGAAAAAAAGATGATTAAACAGTTTCTGTTGAACTTTTAGCACAAAAAGTTTCAAATTTATGATTTCAGTCTAATAACTATTTAGTCAACATGTTTAATTTATTTCAATGATGACGGGTATTGATAATTTTGATTCCAAATATCTCGAGAACCATTACTCATAGCGTTTTTTACCAAGAGACCTTTTTTTTATATAAAAAAAGTCGTAAATGTATATTTTTTTACTTAGTAGTTTTATACAGGCTTGGAAGAAAAGTTATTACTCTTGAAACCAGTTAAAAAATATGTAGGTGGCGCCCTCTACAAGAAGGAGTCATATTGAAATGAAAATCAAATTTCTCATGTCAAAAAACTCCCAGACACCAATTTTCATCCAAATATGACGTTACTTAATAAATTATTTAGAAAAAATCGCAAATAAAAATGGATACTTTCTACACCCTGTATCTCCGAAACTAGCATTTTTAGGACATACATTTATACGACCTTTTTTACTTATTTTAATCTAAAGAATATGCTGCCGAAACACCCTGTATATAAAAAAAAAAAAAAAACACCCTGTATAATAAAATATTTAAAAATATAATAAAATAATAACTGTTCACCAAAAACGTATACATAAAAATCCATTCATAATTTATCGTCACATTTTCCTTAAACCCTAATTAACGCTTCATCATACTTTATTAGCAAAACACGAGTTGTTAAAACAGTTCGTTCTAGTAGATTTTGACAAGTATGAATAATTATCATAACAACTTTTTAACATGTGTATACAAATTATGAATATTTACCTATTATGAGGTATCTAACAGAGAAACTATAATTTTATTGTTTATTTATATCGATTTTGTAACTACGAGTATACGGAAAATAATTATGCTTATTTCGTTTTTTAAAGAAAATTAAGTCTTCCTATTCAGGGTGCCGGCTCACAAAAGGATAGACGGCAATGAAAAAGCAAACGATCTAGCTAGAAAAGGAGAGAACACTCCAGTAACTGGACCAGAATCATTTTGCTTTACAAGCGGAAACCAACTTAAAAAACCTGGAAGACTCCATCCGTAACTTGGAATGGAAATCCTCCAACGGTCTAAGACACTCGAAAAAGTTTCTCAGAACTTACGACCGAGAAAAATCAAAGATTTTTCTTGATTTAAGTAAAAACAATTCTCGGATTTTCACGGGTTTCTAACAGGACACTGTCTCCTCAACGAACACCTCAGTATACTAAAGCTGAGAAACAACGGCGAATTCAGATTCTGTGGGGAAAATGGGGAAACAACAGAATAAACTCTCCGGCAAAAAAAAACCGATCACTAAAAACTAGTCCCAATTTCAAAGTTGGATTTCTCGCGAACCACTCATTAGATTTTGATGATTTTTTTAAATTGTAAATTAATTTCTTCTTAACTGATGCTACGTCAGAAATTTTTATTCCGAATTTATTTTGAGCATATACAGGGCACAACAATAAGACGAAGTTTTTTGCCCGAACTTTGTAACACCCTGTAGGGTGCAGCAGCTGTAGTATAGTCTGTGGTATAGTCTGTGAAACGAATAACTTTGAATTTGACAGTTCCCGCGGGCTTTTCTAGTGTTAATTTTATTAGGTTAGCAACTTGTGGCCATGCTGACGCAATGCCGTCTCTAATAGCACAGCCTCGGAGCAAGATTTATGACGTCACGTTAGTTAGATACTACGGATTTAATAAATATGTTGTAGAATAATGAGAAAACATAAATTATTTCCTTCGTATTTTTTTAGTTTGTATTTTTAAAAATGATATGTTTACATGAAATATACATAATATACAGTTAATAAATACAATATATTCGTATATACCTATTTATAGTAATAAATACAAATTTGGCAAAATTAAACTATGAACATACAAATGCAGCAAATGTTTTACAATTATACAAAAATAATAGGTATTTTTTTTTTTTTTTTTTTTTCAATAATATTTTAATTGGGTTTGGAAATCGATCTAATTTAACAGAAAAAACATTCAATACTCTACTGCAATAGTGATGTATTATATATTTGCATCACAAAAGTTTATATGTATATTAAATAAAAAAAAAAAAAAAAAAAAATTATATTTGCAAATAACACAATATCATAGAAAAAAAGGCGTCAGCGATGCTA